CGGTACGCCCCATTTTATTTGAAGGTTTATAAACTTGCCGAAACTCACCGGAGACGAAGGGGTTATTAAAAATTCATTCCTGCTATTTTCTTACAGTTTTCGTGAGTTTTTCGCTGCACAATAGCTTTGTAAAAATGTAGCAGTTCACCTATTACCGCGTGAGGAACGCGTCATACACAATATACACTCCTGTGCTATCGGTGAATAAAAATTTTGGCAAAGTGACTGACGTCAGGGTGCTCCATTGGCCCTGCCCAGATCGCCCGACAGGACGTAAAAATAAACATTTGGCACGCCGCCATCGGTGACAGGACCCGCGGTAGACTTGGAGATCTCGCACCACACGCGGATATCTCGCGGGATTTTTCGGGACGCCTATCCCGAAAAATTCCGTATCCCGATGATGCATATCCCGTGATTCTGAAGTTATCTCTACTAAACATAATAAGGATAATATCAGTTTCTGATCACATTTGAAATGCTTACTCTCCTGTTTGTATCCTCATAAGACTCTTAAGATTGGACCTCTGCTAGGAAAGGAAGCAGAACTTGGTCCATGAGAAACTGCGGAGGAACCTAACAGAGCTGAACCCAGCCATCCACAGAAGGATACAACACATCACAACCATTTCTAGAAACACATTATATCTCCATTTTGGCCAGTAAATATTCATTATGTATGTTAAATTTGCATAATATATGTAACAGTTAAGTCATGTATAGCTTTTAAGTATGTATGTATGGTTTTATAGAGTGTGTAGTTCCAATATTTTACACAACTGTAGATTTTCATTATCATTGCAATGATTTTCATATAAAATTTCAAAGAACAATTATTATAGAAGTGGGTATATGCACTGGCTCGGCGATCAAAAGAACAAGTAAAACCCAACAAAACTGGCTTGATATATATCTTATATACTGTAGTATAAAGACTAAAGTGTACTGTAGGAATTAGTTCTTCATATCATTGTATATCATTTCATATGATATACGTATTTACAATTAGCCTTCTGTCATGTATTTGTAATAATAATAAACTTATCATCATTATTATTTCAGCCTACGTCCTGTTTCCTATTTACAAAAATGTAATAAGGTAGTGAGATGAGCGCAGCAAAGTCCTTTGTAACTAAAGCTGTCAAAAAGACTTGAAGTTTACTTGCAGTCTGCAGAGGATGTCATTGATTAAAGTTACATGCTGTGGCCTAATTGCAAACATGGTAAGAGTGTGTGCTGAGTGAATCATTGGTACTGTGGTATGTAACTTTATATATCCTAGTATCTCCTATACATGGCACTACAAGACTAGTCTATGGTAATGATCTTTGAGTGGCAGACGGGTAGACTTGGCCTTACAACGGCAAAAACATTCAAATTCCCCAGTTATAACGTTGATGTTACTCTATAAACAGCATATAAAAGTCAGTAATATAAGCAAACTATCCTTCTACCTTTCCTTTCCTAATAAAGGTATAACGTTAAATCGTAGGCAAGACCATCCTGAGGTAAACATATTGCATTTGCTTGCAAATGTTACCTTTCTAGTTTGGCTATTTCATTTTTATGTAATCAATAATTTCTCAAGCACTATATCAACATAAGCTTACTTCATTGTGGCGTTCGCCCTGGCAATGCATTTCATACATGTATTGTGCCTATGTGTCAGCATATCATACTGAAGAGAAATTCACGTCAAAAAAATCCTAGATGACACCTACCTGACGCGACCACGTCTTTGACCTCCACCTTGAGTTCGTGCGACATGAAGCCGATGAAGCAGAAGACGGCAAAGCCGGCAAACACGCTGGAGCCGCAGTTGATCAGCGGGATCAGGATGGCGTCCCTACAGCACAGAGTTTCCAGGGACAAAACATTAAACTATTTGTAATAGTGTGCGTCAACAGAATAAAAATGATACATCAACATGCAAACAGAGCTTAGCTAAGCGTGTGATCCGTGGCTACACTGCAGTTTTAACAAATGAGTATCAACGCCATCAATGCGGTTGCAAAAGAGTACAAAAGCCAAAGACGTCGTCTTTTGAAGAAGCTTAGTGTGGCATTTTTCTCATTGAAACTCAAGGTGTTGACCAGTAGAACCAACTGCAATGTGTCCTACCTCTGGATGTTGTTGTTGAACTTGTTGTAGCTTGCCATAGTCAGCACAGCTCCGAACGCGATGGCTAGGGAGTAAAAAATCTGCGAAGCCGCGTCGTACCAGACCTGTGTAAACACAGGGGAGTATTGTTAGTAAATAGGGTAATTCGAACAGCTAATTAGTAGACATTGATTGATGTTCACAAGTCATGGGAGGGTTGCGAAATCAGACACCGGACGTTTGAGTATATGAGAGTTATGTTGGAGTCACAATTCTAAGCCTGGACGCGACTTGGCTGTTTGAATGAACGAAAAAAAACGCATATCAAGAATATGCACAAATCATATCTTAACGTTTTGTGTGTTTCGTTGTCTTTCATATCATACTTTTCGTTCCCGCAAACTGCCCGAACGGGCCCCGGCTTGGAAATGTCTCTCCGGCATTACCTGATATTCTGTGAGCCTGTTGAAGTCCGGGGTGATGTAGAAGAGCACGCCGTCGATCGCCCCGGGGAGAGTCGCGCCGCGGATCAGCAGCGTGAGCAGCATGATGTACGGGAAGGTGGCGGTGAAGTACACTACCTGGGAGGGTAGAATAAGGCACCGTGAGAGGGGTAAAAACATGTATCCGAAAATGTGTCCTCGCTGCAAAAGCGCCATCCACATTGACAAAATGTAGCAGCGAGGAAGCTCTGAGGAAGGTGTCTGATAGACTCCGAAACGTAAGCAAGGTGAGACTTTTTTTGTGTAAAAAAAGCAGCATATCCTTGGTAACTACATGCAACTTATGTACGCGGGGTCTGAGTGTCTTACATGCTGTGTAAAGAGAGGAGCATAAAAATATAGAACATACGGTTACAGACTGCAGTTGTTTTATCCGAGTGAAATGCGTGTTCGTCCAAAAACGAGAGACAGAATAAAAAAAGCACATAAAACTTTGAGTTTGACTTTGCAAATTTACTAGTACCTTTCCAGTGGACTTGACTCCCTTGAAAAGGCAGAAGAAGACCGTGACCCATGCCAGCAGCAGACACAGAGACAGTTCCCAGCTCATCTTCCCGGTCTCAGAGATACCGCTGGAGTACTGTTGGACTCGATGGCTGCAACAACAAAATTAATGTAGATGTTGGCAAAATATGTCGCGAGGCAACTTCTCTGTACTCATACGCAGCCTCATAACATAGTAGTGACACTAGTTCTAGGGGATTTTTCTAGTTTGTCTTTGCATGCTAGCAAGCTTGCAAGGTATTCAAAGCGTGCATGTACATATCGGGTCCTCCCAGTTTGAGCGCTTAACTTCTTAACAACAGTGACAGTCTCATGACCGCACTTGTGGCAATTCATACTGTCGAATTGAGGTCACCAGAGCGCCACAAAGCTGCCTTTATAGACCATTGCGATTAGCCCCTCCTCGCAAATGTCTGGCTGCGAAGGCAGAGTAGTCGGCGCAATAATAATATAAATATTTGCATAACGTTTCAACCCTTAGAAGAAACAACTATTAGGTTTGGTCTGTCTTTTTTATGGACCCGTCGACCCAAATTCTTTTCTGTTTGTATTTTCTCTCCCAAGCAAATCCATGCGGTACCTTAGAGAAGTTAGAACTAGTCTATCCCCAACAGAACTTTAAAGTAGCCCTACCGGTCGAAACTCATCTTATGCCTACACCGCGCAGATCGCGACACTCCAACCCAAATTCTTACAAAGCTCTACAATTTCATAAAGACTGCTACAGATACTCCTATTTTCACCAAACAGTCAGAGACTGGAACACGCCTCCTCAGGTCATAACTCTAATCACCCCCCCCCTGTCCGTCTTACCCCAACAGAGGGATGTTGTGCAGTATTTTCTCAACAACTACTCACTGCCAGTACTCTTCGCTGGGGCTGACTCGTGTGAAGTTGGTGGCGTTAGTCGTGCTGTTGGCCACGTCCCACGACTCCACGCAGGACGGCGTGTTCCACCAGTGTCCGCAGTGGTGCCACGGCAGCTGGCTGGTGAAGGAGGCGAACAGGTAGTACAGGGCCCAGGCGATGATCATGTTGTAGTAGATGGCGGTCCAGGAAGATATGAGAATCATGGAGTATCCAATGCCTATACAGACGATAGTAAGAGTGAATTCCCTGAATAGTTTCATCAGATTGGTAAGTCACTAAGTAAAGAGACTCTAACATATTTACATATCTACACATATAGCAGCGACACCTGTGCTGCAGTGCAATGTGAACCTGCCAGAATTGCCCCGAGGAAGATGACAGACAGTCACCGAAACGTCGGTTGTGAATAAAACACTTAGTTGTATCATGGAGGTAGAAGAGACTTTTTTTCTACCTCCATGGTTGTATAGTCTCTTTACTCAGTAAGAGTGATTTTTGTGAACTGGCTCACGACAGGAACACACCCCTACAAACACATCTTCTGTTATTCAGACTTTCTTACAAGTGAAATCTGTCTTCAATAGCAGTTGTATATAGTGTATATGTGGTGAAATAATTGACAGCGCACCTTTCAGTATGGGCAGACAGTCCCACACAGGTAACGTCCCAAGCCCGGCGTACTGCCCCAGGGCCAGCTCGATGAAAAACATGGGTATCCCGGCAAGCACCAGCATGATGACGTATGGGATCAGGAACGCTCCTGTAAACGATGGACATTTTCACTCTCCAAGCAGATCCTAGGGTTGCAAAAGACAGTATCAAATTTGCCAGACAGTGTCCAGTTGCCAGAGAGGGTCCAATACACCACCAAAGGGTGGATACTGTCTGGCCAATTTGATAGTCTTTTGCCACCCTAGATCTGCTTGGAGATTAGGACATTTTGTGTCTATACACGTTGCCATACGTAAATAAACGCCAAGAGCCACATACAGTATTTAGTTATCCTTTCCATCATATTTCAAAAGCATTTCCTTCATTATTACCTCCGCCGTTGCGATAGCAGAGATACGGAAACCGCCATATGTTGCCCAGGCCCACGCAGTAGCCAATCATGGACAGGAGATAATCTATCTGGGCGCTCCATTGGTCTCTCTTAGGGGTTTCCTCATCACTGGATTTCTCGGCAGCTTCAGCATCCTGTGTCAAATAAAGAATAAATATACTCTACAGCGGGTTTCAGATCTAGTTTGTTACTTGACATGAAAAGAACAGGGACGTCAGTGTGTTTGAGGAACAAAAGTGAAGAGAACAAAATGCTCCAATCCGACGATTAAAATGCCATCACAGTCCATCCATACCTTCTTAAGTTATGCTAATCACAAATATCCATAAACACACAAACACACACACAAACACACACACAAACACCATCACTTTGGTGAGGGTAACCCAGTTATTTTTAGGTGATCATTTGAAAAATCATCAATATTGTGCCATGCTCGGCTAATCACACCATCCCCTCACTTCGCCCTGTAATTAAGGGACATCTAGAATGTAATCTAATCAGAGATACATGTAAGACAGGTCAAACTGTGACAGAAGAGGTCGTTCCCCTGGGGCCATTCTGCATAATTGTTCTTTGTTCAGCAAGAAATTTTGGCGGGAAAGTAGAGAACATAATTGGCTATGCCACATTCGTCGGAATCCGCCAATAAATTATGAGCCTTCTCCAAACTTTATGTGGCCGTGTTGTCAACCGCCTTTTGGCGGAAAAGGTTGGCATAGATGATAGATCCTTGTCAACGGACATTGAATATCAAAACAATGCATATGGTTTGAAAGCGCTTTAATTTATTGGCTTCATGCGAAGCTCTGTTTGGTGTCATGTCAGTAGCATGAGGATTTTCTGCACTCACATATGGTGACACCGAGTTTCACATAAATAAGGCAAGGAAAGGTCTCGAGCTCATGACAACACAACAAAGGATTTAGAATTTCATTAAAGTTAACATGTCATGTTTCAGTCGTGGACCAGTCGTAAAAAGGTCGGCTAATGACTCAAGGCCACAGGTTGAAACCCATGAAATGCCCATTATATCGGCCATTTAGAACGCCCTCTACAAAACAACGCGTGCGTGATATCGATACTACGGTTTCGTCATGGAAAATTTTCTGTTGCCGGCTGTCACTGTGATTCAGAAACTAGATCTTCTTTTTTTTTTTTTTTTTTTTTTTTTTTTTTAAACTGTTTATTCAAATCATGAAAACAAGTACAGGTGGAAGTACATATACATACACAGCTACTTTTAACAACTTTTACAGCCATATCCCCAAAATACACGGACCAATCACAAGGAACAGTCACTAAAAAAAGATGTCTAAACTAGATCTTCTTTGTCACAAAGCATAATTGAAATCAGCAGAGTCTTCCGATCCCCCAGGGGAATTGGCCAAGAGACAATCGAGGTCATGCTGTTTACAACAACGTCGATTTTGTCCCGTTTGATTAAATGTGGTTCTTAGAAGAAGGTCTTTAGAGCAATATATGAATCGTGACATTTTCGGAAACCATCTCTATTTTCTTTTTTGATCACCGAAAACATCCACGCACCGCAGCAAACACAGGTGGGTGGTGCGCGTGGGCCAACAACCACTCGTTCGGACCACGTCTAGCCTATAGCATGCCAAACAACTTTCCACGTATCCTGCCACATGAAGTTTATAAGTTGCACGACGGCTAAACTGCATTTTCCTCTCTGCAGCCCGGATAAGTATTTGGGGACTACATTATACCACCGCCCCTAACGACCTTTTTCGGTCAAACGTAGAGAACATCATTGGCTGTGCCACATTTGTCGGAATCCAACAATGAATTATGAGCCTTCTCCAAATTTTATTGTACCCATTCAAGGGTCGGTCCAAGGTTCAAGGTACACATGAAGTTCAAGTTAAAGAAAAAACGCTACCCGAAAATTTCAGACGCAAACATCACAAATGAGTAGCATTCACACCATGTTCACACCAGTTTTCCGTGCTTATCTTCACATTCTTGTTACACCATGGAGGTAAAAAAATCACACCTAAAACTGCTGCCTTACCTTTGAGTTGTTGTACAGAAGTTCGTCCTTGACGTCTACGTCGTTCTTGGTCTCCATTGTTTCTTCAACAGCAGTCTGATGTTGAGCGGGCGAACAACGTTTGGACAATGAGCTACCTCACCTGTCGTCACGCGTATTAGCATCCCCTAATGGCACCTTCCGTCATGGAAATTTCCATCGCCTTGTTTTTCAGCCGAAACGTTGTTAATATGCCTAAGGCAGTGGGCTACAACTAGGGACAGTCTTTTAAGACCTGAAAAGGTTCTTAGGACAGCTGCTGTATTTGCCTGGCGTCATCACACACACACAATTTTTCAGGAAACTTATGTCTATGAGTAACGTCTGTGAAAATATCGGTCAGTTTGTTCATCATAGAATATGCAGCATTGCGGGCCTATTAGTCTGATGAGCAAATGAAAACAACACTAACCATATACTCAAGGGAATTGCTGTTATGCCGGATCAACCTAAGGGTAGCTAATTATAAGGATTTAGGGGTACAAACACGTAACTGTCATCGCTTTTAGACTCCTCTTAAAAACAAGCCTAAACTCTGCCCGAAGAGTCTTCGGGCAGAATTTAGGCTTGTTTTTAAACGGTATAATTATGAATATGTGCAATAACGTATAAACCCAAACAGCTTACAACATAGAAAGACCGACAATACGCCCCAAACTCTCAAAATGCCTGAAGACGTCCCACCCTACTTCTGTTTATTTGGAGAGTTAGTGAAATTCCGATCTAATCTAATGATCTGGCCGGTGCATTCAGTTGACCTGTCTTCTAAAGCTCGAAAAGGCTACCAGTAGAAATACCATTGTCAATAAAGGACAAAGAGTCAAACTTCCGACTATTGTTTGATATTTGTGTTTGGAAATATCGGAAAAGCAGTCTTCCCATACAAGTCTATAAGTATACCGACATAAGCAACCAGACGTTCATGAAACCTTTCTTTATACGGTTTAATAAATCAAACAAACAGTCTACTAGTGTTGTTGAGTACAACCCACAAGGCTGAGAAATGGTAGGTCCTATAAATGGAAAAGCGATGACATCACGCGTCATAAGAATCAGCAACATTTGGCAACATTCCATTGACCCTTCCTCCGTTTCGACAAACAAGTATATGTCAGTCAGTACATACAAGTACAAAGCATGAAAATCTTATTTTATCAACGGATACCAGCAGTGCCGCTTTCCTCTAGTAAGTTACATTACTTACCGTGAGGGGAACAAAAATGTATCAGTCTTGTTCACCAGACACGTGCATGCTTACGTTTACTTCATATTTGTTGACAAGTTTGTGAGCTGGAAGAAAAGATTTGCCAAACGGCACCTAAGTACCTAGGACGTTTATCTTTTCTATCTGTGTTGCTCAAAGTAACCCCCTAGACATAGAAATGGATCATTCCATGGGTTTCAAAATAGATGACAGCCAATGCACATCCTGGCAGAGTCGGCACTTGGCTGCTTCCTCCGCGCAGGGTTGGGTCCAGAAAAACTTCAAGGTTCGTTTTCAGTGGAAATGTGTCATTTAGTCGGTGTTAACTGATTCCTACTGTTATATCGTGATAAGCATACGGTGAAGTGCTATCAAATGTTTTCTTGCAAATGTTTTCTGTACTATGTCCATTCTTTCATGAAAAAGTTTAATTAGATTCTCTTCCATTGTCCGTTTATGAAATATCTGCTCTTTTCAGACCAACAAGGACAAGGCAAGAACCACAAACTCGCGATGTTGCAGCTAATCTGTGTGCTTTTCTTGGCGGCGGAAGTGGTGAGTACTATTGAGAAACGGAGTAGAGGCCAGAAGTGATGTTATACTCCGTTATGTTATGTTACACTTTGATATCCTTATATGAAATTGGTTTTAAGAACACGCATAAGCATATCATCTGATTTTCATGATTTTAGTGCCGCTGACGTCTACAAAGTTATTCATTGACTGGTTGATTAATCCATTCATGTTTACTGAATGAATGAATACCTTAATTGTACACACATACCCACTGGGTCAAGTACAGGTCACAACAAAAGAATAGAATGTAGATAATTTAGTATACTTAATATAAATTGTCAAGTACCTACAACTAAGTAAATTCGGTTTCTTCTCGTTTTTGAGTATAAACGATAAAAAGGTAAGAACAGATATTTTTCAAAATCGAAGCTTTGTCAACATTCATTAGATATATAAAGTTATCTGTACTACTTAGTATGAAGTAGGGGGGCATGGATTGCATCAGACTATAATTAAACTATTTACTGTTTCTTACATTGTTATCTTCAACGGTTTTCTGTCTGCGCCAGGCCCCTGCGCCGTCCAAGGTGCGTCAGAACTTCCATGATGACAGCGAGGCTGGAATCAACAAGCAGATCAACATGGAACTGTACGCCAGCTATGTCTACATGTCAATGGTGAGGATAGGTTCAACACGCTCTTATATTAGAACGTAAAATTTAAACAAAAATCTATTTAATATCAGGAAGGGATGAGCAAGGAAGCAAAACTCCCTTTTTAGGGCACATGTTCCATGTAAGTCATTTCCGTGGCCGAATGGGCAATTGTGTTTAAATTGCGCATATCTCTATTCTTATATGTTTTCATCTCTTTTTTGGGGGCAACGTATACAAACGTAACATCGTTGCTTGCTCGAATTATTTCAAACATGGCACTATATATAGACAAAACATTATTCGGCAGGGACGGGGGACGGTACAGACTTCCAGCCTCCTTACACCAAGTCAAGTCATGTGACATCCTGTGATAGTTTGAGTTGGTATATTTCCCCAGGCGTCGTACTTCGCTCATGATGACGTGTCCCTGGAGGGCTTCTCCAGGCTGTTCCGGCGCATGTCTGAGGAGGAGCGGCAACACGCCAACGTGCTGGTGGACTATCAGAACAAGCGCGGAGGTCACGTGGTGGGTACAACCTACTACTGCCACTACAACTACCCAGTTTACACTGCACGAAAACTTAGATTTACCAATAGCGGTAAATAACTGCAGTAAAGTTATTAACGTGGGGTAATGTTTACTTTGTTTTCTTAAACACTGCTGGACTTCACAATGGTAGGAAATAAAAGTCAAGTACGGTGATTTAAGGGTTGTAAATTATATTACCGAACTTGACTTTACTACCATTGTGAGGCAGATACAAAGTAAACATTACCTGAGTTTACTACCTTTAGTAGATCCAACTTTTCGTGCAGTGTTTATACTAGTACCCCCGAGAAGTAGGTAGTGGTGTATGTATGTACGTGTGCGCGCGAACGTATGCGCGTGCGCGCGCGTGTGTGTGTGTGGCGTATGACACAGTGTGTGTGTGCCCTGTGTGTGTGTGTGCCCTGTGCGTGTGTGTGTGTGTGTGTGTGTGTGTGTGTGTGTGTGTGTGTGTGTGTGTGTGTGTGTGTGTGTGTTTTTCTCCGTGCGCGTGCGCGTCGGTGTGTTCGGGTAGGTCTTACAAACTCGAAGGCGCTGGTCATGTGTTGTTGCTCAAATCAATACACAATATTTCCCCATGACAGGTTTACCGGAACGTGCAGCCGCCGCAGCATCCAACGTTTAGCAGCGGGCTGGACGCCATGCAGGCGGCTCTGGACCTGGAGAAGCAGATCAACCAGGCGCTGCTGGATCTGTACAGGACCGCAGATCGGCACGGGGATCCACAGGTAAGATCACGTCGGCTGGATCTGCAGAAGAATAGGATTAACTCTGGGATCCACAGGTGATAATACCGTGAGCAACTGGATCTGTATAAAATCACAGATCAGCATGGGATCCACAAGCACAAATGTATGATTACATGATCACAACAAGTGCAATATGTCAAAAATGAAAATGATGGATGAAATGAAATATGAGAAAACAATAGCAAAGGGCATTGGTGAAGGAATGAATGATGAATAACAAACGAATGACTAACGTAAAGATCTATAATCGTCCACCCTACAGATGCAAGACTTCCTGAACTATCACTTCCTGAAGGAGGAGGTGAAGCGCATCAAGCAGCTGGGTGATTACGTCGAGAAACTGAAGCGTGTGGGGAGCGGGCTGGGCGAGTACACCTTCGACCGGGACATCCTGGGTGGGGGGAAGTAGCTGTATGGTTTTGTGGGGGAGAGGGGGCAGTAACTGCAAATCCCCCCCCCCCTTTTAAGTAAGGAAAAAAATCAAGAAACTAGAAAGGTAACGTTTGTAAAGCAAATGCATAAAGTTTACCTTCGCATATGGTCTGCTCTTTTAATTCTTACTCAAATCAAGGACCTTGCTCAAATACATTCATGTATATGGTCAGACAGGAGTATAAATCCCTCCTACTATAAAATTGCAACATTATGTAACTCAACACCAGTTACCATGGTGAGAGACGTCAAAAAATAAGGTCATTGACCAGATCAGTCACTGTTTGGAGAAGAGGAAGAGGAGGAAACGTAGCAAAAACAGTATGTTTTCCTTCGGTAAACATAAAATCATTTGATCACCGTCAACTTCAATTAATCATACAGTCAGTAACTTGGTGTGGTTCTGGGTTAATGACCAACTTCCGGGCAAGTGTATGTAAAATAGTGTAAACAGTAAAATTAAACTCTAAATGATTATGGCCTTCCTGACATTTGTCTTTTTTTTAAGTTATAACTTGAACTGAAGCATTTAAAGTATTGTCAGTATGGAGCACCTGCACACCATACATAGATCGTTGTCAGCAGACACAGACCAGATAAATTACTAGTATTAACCACCAGATGAAGAGTGGCCCAAGCAAGAATTCTACACTACCCGGTGAAAAGTTTGCTTGGAGAGATGTAAGGAAAACGCCAGGCAAAGACGAAATACTAGTAATCCGCCCTCCCAACATCTGCTTGAAGAATAGGTTACTTAGAGGTCGTCTAGTGACCCACGTTGCATCACAACCAACATGGCGGCCAAAATCGTCCATATGTTGCCCGTCGTGAAAAAGGTACTGATTTTCTCTTCTTGTGGAAACCAAATGAGTATATTTGTGTGGTTTTAGTATGTGTATGGGGTATAGAATAATATTGGCATTGAACAACGCTTGTGATTTGACCACAGCTGACAAATATAGTTATGATTTATTATCAGTGGGAGGGGGGCGTAAATAATTTCAAAGTTCCTGAATGAAAGTTATTGAAATGTAGACATAAAACAATCTGTGGTGTGTGATTTTTCAGAAGAAGGTACGCCATAGAAAAACATTCAATATACCATATTTGATTGTGTACCCGTCAGTTTTGCTCAGTACAACTACAAGCTGCGTAAAGATAGACTGATCCCCTCACATAGGCTGGACTCCTACTCTTACTGTAGGTGTGGCTGTCATTATTATTAGCAGCATTAGCATCACACCTGAAGGTCTCTTTCCAAGAGAGTACAAGTTTCGTGAGGGATAACAATCAGATATTGAACTCCTGAGCTGTAGACTAGAGGCAGGGTTACTCACTAAAATGTTAACATTACATGATGTATGTACAGTATATGTAACGTTATCTATATTCGTTATCCACCATTTCTCCCACATTTCAGCAAGTGAAGCAGCATGTGATTGTGAAGGTGGACGACCCAGGACCCCTGGGGTTCCTCCTGGGAATCCCCAGCACCAAGACTGGCACCACCACGGTGGTAGGGTTAGGTGCCCTGGTGGGGTCGGACGGTACTGCACTGCAGCAGGAGGCTGAGGACATCTTACTCCACATTCCTGCAGGTAAAGGGAACGTCTCATAACTTACTCACTCACTCACTATCCGGTTTATCGTCTGTTGTTCCCCAGCTTCCGAGGGTTAGACATGCTTGCACAGCAATACTTTGGCTTGAATGGCAGCCTGCCATTTGCCTCTATCCTGTTGGTTGACGTTGTGTGTAGGTCCAAGTGGTGGAAGTCCTCCCTTACATTGTCAAACCATTTCTTGTTTGTAGTAAAACATTAAACTTTATTCCAACACACATTTCTTCTTTGGTTGACCATAAGGGTTTGGGCTTTCCACATCCAGTGTGAGGATCTTCCTAGGCCATTTGTCATAACTTTTCATAAGTTCAGAATTTACATCGAAGCAAAATCAACAGACTTGAAAACAAACTCATGATACATAATTGAAAGAATGTTGTTGACTAATGCCTTTTTTTGCAGGTATAAGACTGAGTGGAGTTGCGTACACATCAGAGCAACCGCCGACACCTGATTATGTTTCTTCCCAGTGTTTGAGATATGTGCAGGCTGGACTCAAGGTAAGAATTATGAAACAGCAGTTACCCATTAGTCATGTACAATTTCCTATTATATGTACCATTTAGATTATGTTGATGTGAAGTGTGATACCTTAGTATACAGTAGTTTGTTTGTACTTATGTGACTACTACTACATTATACTAGTAATTTGCTAAACCTGGAAGTTGCCAAGTAAGTGTGAATTTGAATATGTAATGTAATTTTGACATTTTATATGTCTGACTCTTCCAGGTTTAACCAACCATCAGCATTGACATCATGTTTGAAAAAATATCATGAAAATTTGTCTGTTGTTTGTTCACATCCTGTTTTTAAGCAGCATGGATAATTCTTCCTACCACAATTCTTTTCCAGGATGTTTTTGTATCAAGCGAGTGGATTGTACAACATGTCCAAGTAGACCCAACCACTGAGAATGAGGGGGATGTACAGCCGTCAAAAGTGTTTCTTTATGACTCCAACAGTGGCAGTGCCACCCCTGTTGATGTTCGTGAGGTGGAAGATTCCATCCTTTCGTCCACTACATTGTTGTTACGTCTCCAGGGGCAACTGTCACTCGAGTTTGAATACAATCCTGGAGAAGGTGGGACTTCTGACACTTTCATACATTTCGGTCCATGAAAAGAATTTGCAAAGAAGTTTTAAAGACATTTAAGGTCAAAATCAGATCTGTCAAAGCATGATGAAAAAGGTCACTAAAGAACATCCATTCCTAGCTGCACATTTTTTCCTATTCCTAAAGTTTCCAAGGAAAATCTCTTGACAAATTTCACTTTATGATGACGTGCATTTCACTATCACATCACTTGTTGTCATAAGAATATTACTGATATGCCAACCCATTACCATTCACCAGATGATGGCATGTTCAAAGCCGTTGAGGAGGGGTTCAGAAACCTGCAGGAGAAGATCGCGACTCCCGCCGCCATATTCCACCTCACGGACAGCGACGTCCTCCTGCGACAGCACGAAACCGTGGACGCAACTTCCCTCCCCTTGTCTTACCAGGACCCCTGCCACAGGCTGCTGCAGTTCGTGGCAAGATCAGGCTCAGAGGAGTTGCCCAAAAAAGGAGGGAGCAAAGATAGCAAAGGAAGAAGTAATACACAGGTATAATATATATATATATAATTTGCTGATGATCATGAAGGTATTTTGTACAGACATATTTGAACAAAATATTGTATAAAAATTTGTTATATCAACCATGATGAATGACAATTCCTTTTGTTAAGAGGATGAAGAGTCAAATTGTGAAAAGGACATTTGAAAACAATATAGAGATGATTAGAATGTTCTTTTTTTATTCTTGTATTAAGCTGAGGAAAGGGTTTATCACCCTGTTACGGGCAGTATAACCCTGACCAATATGGTCGACCGATAATGATTCTGCTTGTTTTTTGCCAGGATGTGTTGAGTATGCAGCTCCTGTTCCAGCAGACTGGTCTGGAGGCCATGGCCATGTTACCATCCTGTGTACCTCTTATACACTGGGAGAAAAGTAAGTCACATTCAGTATCAACAAGTGGAGTTCTGTGTTTAACCCTGTTCCTGCTTGGATCTCATTCAAGCAGCACCTTACAAAACAAGTTCTAAATGGGAACTATGCAGCTCCAGATTTCTTACTTAGGGATGATTGTGGTGTGATAGATGTCGATTAGCTTGAGGAATGAATCCACTTTACTATTATACATTACAACATGTATGTTACATGTCCTTTGATATCCGTCCTACAGGAAATTTCCACAACGTGTGCCTGCCCGTGTCCATCAATGTGACTGCCTACATCCACAGAGATGACCCTGTGTCCAGAGTACCCCAGCTCCTGGTGGAGGCTGTGAACAGGCAGCTACGGGGGATGGAGGCATGTCTCAACATGCACTTTCAGGTGAAATGTCTTTTTACCACGATTGACTCCTATGTATGACTGCTAACTTCCCATTGCCTACTAACCTGATAAAACTAGCAGCTGCTTAGTGGCCGCATTGTATTGTCGTGTTGGAATCCCAATAAAATAAAAAAAACCTGATTAACAGATTATTTGTAGTTTGTATTGGTTCTTGTATCAGTCCTGCAGGGCAAAGGTTTAGCCAGTTCCTAATGTATCTAATATCTCGATGTATTTCCAGGGAGGCCAGTTCTGTGTGCCGACAGCCTACCACTTCCTCGCACCTGGCATGCCGCATCTGCTGACAGCTGTCTATCCCAGCAGCCTCCCTGATGACAAGTTAGGTAAGGACACAGCTCCAATCAGAGATGGTAGACTTGGCATATATTGGCAGAACTTGTAGACATTGCACTGTACTTTCTGGGCATAGAAACTCAAGTGCAGACGCACAGTGTCGTGTACACATCCACGCACACATACACACACACAGATATTAGTTCATGATCACTGTCAAGTAATAATATGCAGCAGATGCCATATTAAAGTATCAGTTCAATGTTCTTGTTGATCTGTTCTGCACAACTTTTACTCTCAATGTAATTTTGACTTTCTTCCTTTGCAGACTGGTACAGGAAAGACCTGCATCAAAGATTCTCCCTCCCTACCGACCGTCCTTTGTTAAGGAGACAAAACGCTTATGTTTTCCCTGAAGATCAGCATGGAGGTACAAACCAAAATTTCTTATATTCCACTTGAGACTTATGCATGTAGTTATAACTGCCCTTCACATAACACACCAGCTGTATGACTCATTAAAATACTAATTGTCTTTGTCTCTTTCACATGATTTGCCAATACATGTACCTGTAACCATTCTGATTTTTCTTTCCTTTCAGATATCTATTTGACAAACCCACATGAAGGGCTGCCGCCATCTGGAGGTTGGTTTTGGTTTTGGAGGTTGATTATACCCTCTACATGTAGCTATAAAGGATAGACCAGTTAATTGCCATAAGGGTTGATATTATGAAATTTGGGGTGAAGCCTTTCATATAGTACCATGATTGAGTTAATGATATTTCCTTTGTCTCCAGCTAAAGGTGAAGTGACAGTGGTACAGGGCAGGTACACGTACCATCACTACATGCAGGACCGTATGAACGACAGTGGCTGGGGGTGTGCCTACAGGTCCCTACAGACTATCTGCTCCTGGTTTAACCTACAGGGGTACACAGACAGACCTGTCCCAACTCACAGGGAGATACAGCAGGTATGCAGTTTGCCATGCAACATTAGTAACTCAGTTAGGAAATTCAGAAGAAAACTTATTTCTTAATACTCTGTGAGTGCCAGCTTTGCTAAGTGCAATGCTTTGATATAATTATTGACTAGCAAAAATTTTAATTTCTGACTTTCTTTTCAAAGTTTCAAGACTTCTTGATCACTTTAAAGTTATACATGCAAGCCAAAATCCACTGAATATTTAGGTAATAAGCATTTTCAAAAGCTTTGCACTGTACAATGTTTGTGTGTACTAATTTTTTGCAGAGATTCAACTGTTGTACTTTTTCACTCCACAGGCCCTGGTTGACGTAGGGGACAAACCAGTAACGTTTGTAGGGAGTCGGAAGTGGATTGGGTCTATAGAAGTCAGCACATGTCTGAACCAACTACTTGGGGTAAGTTACAATTTTTCATGCTGCAAAAGGTAATCTGCTTGTTTAATGTCATATAATGCTATGGCTGTTTTAAGACCCTCAAGTCAAGATTATCTAGCAGTGTTTAAGATTGACACAGGGCGGTGTGAGGAAAGCTAAATTTTTTTCTCGTTTTACTGAATTTTTCATCAGATCTGAATGTCTGAATGTCACTGCTATGAATATCTGCTATAATATAAAATTACAAAATATTGATATGATTTAAATTTCATGAACGTATCTTTTGTGTATGCTCAGGTGACGTCCAGAATCATGTGTGTAAACAGCGGTGCTGACCTGGGGGGTAAAGGTCGTGAGCTGGCACTGCACTTCCAGACCCAGGGGACACCTATCATGATAGGTAGGTACTGCACCAAATGTGAGAACGTCTCATTTAAGATCGTATTCGCATATTTAAGGATGACATCCTGTATATAGATTTCAAATGTTGTGTCAGAAAAGATGTCGTCTGCAAGTTAAGTGCAATGGGCAAAATTCTAAAGAAATGTTGACCAATACTAGTATCTAACGAAAATTGAATGTGAAAAAAAAGGCTTTCGCACAGGCACAGTACATTCTGCCAACATGTTATATGAATTACAAGCATACTGTACTTAGAATCCTTTTCTGTGACCTGCACATGTACATGTATATGTCCACTGTCTGTAGGTGGTGGTGTCCTGGCTCACACCATCCTGGGAGTGGACTTCAGTGACCAGACAGGACAGATCAAGTTCCTGGTGCTGGACCCTCACTACGAGGGAGGAGAGGACTTGTCAGTCATTCAGAGCAAGGTCAGGCATCATACAGGGCTCTAGCCAGCACCTGTTTATCTGCAGATTATTCCACAAACTTTATGTCCCATGACTGTAAAGATGTCGATCGTCAGTGGCAGTCTTGGTTTTGTAGTCAAAGACATAACTCCATACATGATGACGGATATGAATTATTCTCGCTTGTAGATTTTTTTCATAATTGAGAATCGGGATGACGTAAAAAAATTCAAGCTAGCTATTTATTTATTTATTTCATTTTAAAACAGCTGGGTAGCACAATTGAGCTGTAAAGCTGCTTTCCAATGGGGCCCAGCATACAGGAGCCCTGGTCATCAGCCACAGTTGTAAAGACAGGGAGGTGCCATTGAAGCTTTCTATGAAACTGCAGCATGGAAATCCTTCTGAAAATATATGACAAGTAGCTATAGGGTCCAGTATGAGGTACAATGTTTTGCCTCAGCAAAGGTTTGCTCTCCAAGTGCTGTTGAGTTTCATTTTCGATGAACAGTCATGGAAACAGTCAGGATTTTTGTTTGTAAGATCACATTGTCTTGTATACCATGTAGGGCTGGTGTGGCTGGAAGAGTGTGGAATTCTGGGACAAGACGACTTTCTACAACCTGTGCCTTCCCCAGAGACCTGATATTATATAACAACATCAGCAATTCTGTCATCACACATGACATCTTGTTATTACACTTTAAATTCTTATTAATCGTGATACATTCAGGTGAAATGATTTATACAACAGAATGTCAAATGGATACTGGTTGTACCAATTACATGTACCTGGTAAAATTGATACCGTATATGAATTATTATAAATCAAGTGACTGACAGTAACAAACGAAAAAAGCTATAAACCATAAACAGCTACAACTACGCAGTACAATCTCTGAAGTGCCATGCCCTGGCAGGATTTCTCTGTAAATTAGTGACTGAAGAAAACATCTCCAGATTGGGCAGCTGCTGGAAGTAATGTGTTAAAGAGTTCCCTTTTCTGTGAATCATGTGTCAGACTGTGATTGTGCCATTGATAACTTCCCCTTTACGAAGGCTATGAATTATGAGAAATTTGAGGAAGTATCCTCGCTATTCAGCATGTAACCATACTCTCACAAGTACATTCCACTGCCAACAAACAAGTGCTTGAAGTAAATGCAAACTATTTGTAACTAGTTGTAACTATTCAGTTTTGTATGTTGAAGATGAAAGTTGATTTGAAGCCAGAAAAGTTTCAGTATCCACATTTTTGAAATGCACAGATCAGTTAGATTCTTAGATGGCAAGCCTCATTTACTTCCTTCTAAAATCATTAAGTTTGTTGTTGACTTGACTTAATGCAATGCAAGGTCTAAACGTTTTACCTAAGCCAGTCTCCTATTGGGCTGGCCAAGGCCAATAGCTGTCAGCTGTTACAACTTGTTGGACAGGGCATCATTATGTAGCCCTGATCCCCCCAAGCAGGGCAGTTGGTGACAATAGCGGCTGTGGAGAGGTCCTCACCAGGTCAGTCTCAGTATTTTCTGAGAGGAACACTTCCTCATGGACTTGCTTGTGATATATGCATAGAACTTGCATTAGAGGCTTTCCTTTTTTTGTTTAAAAGTTTGTTTTATTATATTTGTTTCAATTTAGGTCTATCCATAGCTGTAATAAGCAAATATGTATTTATCAGAAGTGTTTGGTGAAATAAGGAGAATGTGTAATTTAAGGACTACATCGTCATGCATTTATTGTTGTGTGGGGGTAAAATGTTTCAAATCAGCTCCTTTCCACTAGTTATGATACTCGTTGACGTAACGTTATCCACAGTTATGTTGTTTTTAGAAACAAAGACCTAAATGATTTCAGACTACTCAGGATTCATCATAATTTACCCCGTAGCTATTAGAGCAGAAGCTCTTTTGATAATTCATACACGTTGTTGTGAAGTACTAGTACTTAAATTGCTGAAGAAGGCTTAAACATCCATACTTGCAAACATTCTCGGAGTAGAAGAAACCCTGTATTGATATCCTATATCTGCCACTTGCATGCATGTTATAATATATACACGTCTCAATCCACTTAAAAATAGCTACTTGTGCGACTTTAAATTGTATACGTATGCTGATAGGTTTGTATCAGTCTGGCAAAGCAGGCATGGTGAGAGATTTGTCAGCCAGCTGATCGATGATCAAAAAGAGGCTCTGAAAATTCCTGTGTTGACTTCGAGGAAATTTTCTCAGGTTGAGAGAAGTTCCTCAAACAGCAACAACAAAACAATGTGAAATCAATGTGCAGGGATAAAAGGATCCAACTTAAAGTTTATGGGATATATAATTTCCAGATTTGTTTTGAACCGCGACTTTGCCAGTGCTTTTACGCTTTGTGGCTTCGAACAAAAAGATGCCCTTTGACTAGTAATTTCATATCTGATGGCAAAAGCGGAATCCTGTCAGACAACTTGGCGCTAGCCTCAGGTGCTCGCGTAGCAGCTACAGCTTTTAAAACTCCGCGTCATGATCAGACAGAAATAATTAAATCACAGATCTTTCGACTGGTGTATTTTGGGCCGCTGATGTGAACTGTGGAACGTCAACTCTATTCAGACGACCATATTGACACGAACAGGTCTTTCAGACCAGCTCTAGCTAGTACGCAATTTGTAACACTGAGTGCATAATGCTGAGGTCACATTTCCAAACTGGGGCCCGGCCGGGCTGTTTGCATCAAAGAAAAATGAATATCACAAATATCTGTAACACAAATAGTACTCATTTTTTAATATTCATAGTTTCTAAAATTGTTACAGTTTTGACCAGTCTATGTTAATTAAACCCATCTCAAACATATCTATCTAACATCACCAAGAAACTGGAAGAAGCCGAATCTTTGTATTAGAATTTGTTTTAGAATCCATGTTTGAGATTAGTATTAGTCTTGTCAATGTGTATGTGTATGTGTGTTACTTCTACTTTAATTTGTATTTGTATGCCTATACTCAGCATGATAGGAAATGAATGTATAATAAAGTGTAATATAATAAGAATGTACAATCTACTGTTATCATTAATAACCAATAAGAGGCTGATCAACATATCATTTCTGTCGAGCCTTCGCATTTTAATACAACCTTTCATCTTTCACAGCGATGCAGTGCAAACATCAAATAATTTGGCAGTCTTTCTAACGAATAAACTGCCCAAGCTCTCTTACTACCAATAACTAGTAATGTTGATAGAATCTTTTTATTACAAGTAATGTTTAGATGTCGGACAGTTGCAGGTTCGAAGACTTTTACGATGGCGACGACTGTAAACCCCCTCCCCAACAGAACAACTGTGACCGTGATTGCCGTGTGGTTACTCGTGCTGCTGCCCTCCCCTGTTGTACCGTGTCCGGGATCGTGTTCATGTTCTGGTACACGTGTTTCTTGCTATCGCCTTGGACTCACATCCATTCCAGACAACATACCCAATACAGCAACATCGGTAAACCTGTATGACAATGCTATACAAACCATCAAAAACAGTGATTTCACCGGCTTGTCAAATCTACGGGACCTTTATGTACAAAAAAACTTGATAACCACCCTCACCAACGGGACATTCTCCGGGCTGTCCAGTCTTCAGAGGCTGTACATTAGTCACAATTACATACGAAAGATCCCCGATGGCACTTTTATTAGCTTGTCAAATCTACAGTACCTCGATGTAGACAACAATTTCATAACCACCCTCACCAACGGGACATTCTCCGGGCTGTCCAGTCTTCAGGGGCTGGGCATTAGTCACAATTACATACGAAAGATCCCCGATGGCACTTTTATCGGCTTGTCAAATTTACAGTACCTCAATGTAGACTACAATTTCATAACCACCCTCACCAACGGTACATTCTCCGGGCTGTCCAGTCTTCAGAGGCTGTACATTAGTCACAATTACATAGGAAGGATTGCCGATGGCACTTTTATCAGTTTGTCAAATCTACAGATACTCTATGTAGACTACAATGTTTTAACCACACTCACCAACGGTACATTCTCTGGGCTGTCCAGTCTTCAGAGGCTAAGCATTCGTCACAATTACATACGAAAGATCCCCGATGGCACTTTTATCAGTTTGTCAAATTTGCAGTACCTCTATGTAGACAACAATTTTATAACCACCCTCACCAACGGTACATTCTCAAGGCTGTCCAGTCTTCAGAGGCTGAACATTCGTCATAATCGTATTAGAAGAATCTCCGGCAGTGCTTTTGATGGCCTATCAAGGATTTCATCACTTTATCTCGACTACAATGTCATTAGAAACATCACAAATGACACTTTCTTCGGTCTTGTGAACCTACAATATCTTCACCTTGCACACAACTCCATCACAAACATCACCAGTAGTACATTCACTGGTCTACCTAACCTTCAAACGCTGAATCTCCGTAACAATGGCATCATGGACATCCCAAGTAACACGTTTGTCGGCCTATCAAATCTCCATACTTTGATACTTGACAAAACCGCCAGTGGCATAGTTTTGCCCAACCTTGAACGTTTATTTCTTTGGCATAGTGGCATAACAAGGCTCACTAGTGAACTTTTTACCGGTCTCCCGGGGCTTAAGAACCTGTATCTGCTGTACAGTGGCATCAAAAATATTGCAGGCGGCGCTTTCAGTGGTCTGCCCCATCTTAGTTATCTGCATCTTCAGTACAACGACATAACAACTCTCACCAGTGGAGCTTTCAATGGTCTGTCCAGTCTTGAGTATCTGAATCTTCAGAACAACGACATAACAACTCTCACCAGTGGAGCTTTCAGTGGTCTGTCCAGTCTTGAGTATCTGAATCTTCAGAACAACGACATAACAACTCTCATCAATGGCACTTTCAATGGTCTGTCAAGTCTCCGTAGACTGTATCTTCAGAACAACGACATAACAAATATCACCAGTGGCGCTTTCAATAGTCTGTCAAATCTTTATACACTGCACCTTGGGAACAACGACATTACATCTCTCATCAATGGCACTTTCAGTAATTTATCCAGTCTTTCAACTCTGCAACTTCAGAACAACAACATTGAAAATATCGCCAGTGGTACTTTCAGTGGGCTTGGCAATCTTCGGACATTAAATCTTGGTGATAATGTCATAAACAACATCAGTAATGACACTTTCATTGGACTGTCCCGCCTTTCGTATTTGTCCCTTCGTAACAATGACATTACAACTATCAGTGGTATCTTCAGTAAGCTTCGTAATCTACAAACAGTAAATCTAGATGATAACAGTCTTATCAACATCCCTGATGGTGCTTTTACAGGTCTGCTCCAGTTATCAAGTCTGTATCTTCGTAACAACCTCATGAAAACTATTGACAGCAATACTTTCAGTAGTCTATTGAATCTTCAACGTCTATATCTCGACAACAATGATATCTCATCTATCACCAATGGCGCTTTCAACCGACTACCCAGACTCCATGAACTTTCTCTCAACAATAACACTATAACCTATATAAACACTATAACCAATATGCCCAATATTCAGCGACTACATCTCAACAACAATCCAATTTCTAATATCAACGGAAGTTCTTTCTCAGGCCTGTCTAGCCTTACATACCTTAACCTCCAGAACTGTGGCATTACAAGCATCGATGGTGGCACGTTCATCGGTCTGCCTCGGCTTAGCACTCTGTTCCTCGACGGCAATATCTTAGCCAACATCTCCAGTATGTCTTTCACACTGCCTTTGGCTAATCTTGACAATCTGTATCTTCGGAACTGTGGCATTATAGGCATTAACAATGACAACCTCAGGAGTCTACAAAGTCTTTCCTATCTACAATTAGACAACAATTTCATATCCAACATTGGGAATGGTACATTCGTTGGCCTATCCCGTCTTCAAAACCTAAATCTTCAGAACAATGCCATATCCGAAATCGCTGATGGCGCATTCAATGGACTGTTCAGTCTAAAAACACTTAATCTTGCCAACAATTTCCTACCCAACATAGCTCGTACCCACTTCACGGACATGCATAATCTTCGAAAGATATATCTTAAGAACAATAACATACGTCACGTTGATGCCACAGCTTTCTCTGATCTTCTTAACCTAAAAGAGTTGTACCTAGACGGAAACCCTTTGGGAAACCTGACGGACGACCTGTTTTCTCGCATAACTAAGCTACAAGTTATCAGTTTAGTTAGATGCAAACTCACCACCGTACCGACCTTGCCGCCATCTATCAAATTGATTCATCTTGGTGGGAACCCAATACAGATACTACAGTCGGGAGATTTCAGCGACCTGCCGAACCTTCTGGATCCAGATCTTTGCAACCAATACAAGGACACAAAGGCAGATTATGATCAAATAAATGAGGACTACTACTACTCCTCCGACTATGGCTACTACTACAACAATGACAACTGTGACTACAGCAGATCATACAAGAATGCATCAGATTACCCTCTCATCAGAGTAGCTAGAGGGGCATTCACCCACCTCGATCATCTGAAGGCCATAACGTTACGGGGTAACGGTATCATCTACATCTCCCCACGAGCTTTCGTCAACCTGCCGAGTCTGATGGATGTAGATCTGAGTTACAATGAGATCCCCTACCTGCTTCCAGACACATTTGTGGACGTACCCCGTCTTCGGTTCCTGTATCTCCATAGCAACAAGCTAACCGCCCTTCCACCGGAGCTGTTTGGGAGACTGCCAGCGCTGGAAAAAGTCACTCTGTACAACAACCCGTGGAAGTGTGACTGTTGGCTACAGGGGATGGTACAGTGGATAAATACCACAGACGTGACATATGAAGGTCGATCACCGGTTAAGTGCACATGGAGTCCAGTGCCATCCCTGCTGAATGTGTCACTGTCACAAGTGGATCCCCAGTCACTGATCTGCGAGCAGACCACAACACCGCAATTAACATCAACAGCTACGAGCCACACCAGCACAAGGATAGAGGAAAACACCATTCCCTCGCCTACAAAAAAGACTGCTTTCACAGTTACTCCCAGCATCTCTCCACCAAGAGATGTTTCTTTGGTAACAACAACCGCAACTGAATCGATAGTTCAATGGGAATCTCCCTCTAACGATGTCATGGGCTACATGATCTCTTACGTGAACACAAAGAGTGGCCGAGTACAGAGGACCCAACCAATTCATCCAAGCGTCAATTTCTACACTATATCTAACTTGTCTCCGGGTACAACATATCGCGTGTGTGTAGTCGCTCTGTATACAGTGGGCAGAAGTGCAGCAACAAACAACACGTGCATCACGGTCACAACAAAAGAGGGCACAAGCACAGACCAAACCCTGGTCATTTCCCTGGCAGCAGTGGGTGTCATCGCAGCGGTGGTCATCGTGGGAACGATCGTGATGTGCAAGGTACATTTTTCAGACTTAGTGGTTGCGTAGACTTCACTTTGGGTATGGTGGATGAATTTTAATTCCATCTACGATAGATCTATAACCAGTTGTGTGCTTCAAATGGCATACTAGTAGTGGATTTTAGCAACAAGCCCTGTATATGTGGAGAGAAGCAACCGATGCTCTGCATACAGTTCCTTATACATGTACCAGCTGGACTTAAGAAAAGTACCATTCAATTTGTAACTGAAATAGATTTATGCGTACCTTTTCAGTTGAGGCGAATGCATCAATCTACACCCAGTTCTACCCACAATGCAGCACACAACATCCAACTGACGTCAACTGCGACGTCAACGGCGACACCTCCGGTCACAAACACCGGCGTGGCGGCAACTCGCCCTGACGACAAGTTGGACGTGGCGGCTGGTGGACAAACATCAACCCCTTCTGATGACCACTTCTACATGCATCTGGTATATCCTGACACACAGGGACGAGGCGTAACAAACCCAGCAGCAACCCCTGGCCAAAGTGGGGCAGCATCCCCAGGTAGGCAGTCTGAGAGTGTACATGTATATGAAGATGTTAATGAGACAAGGAAGCAAGTTGGAGGAAATGTCGAAGACCATGTCTACCAGAACGATGCACTGTAGTGTTATAACATTTACTTTAAGGTCACGTTTTACTTTGTGACATAAGTTATATGTAAATAATGTTTCAATTTTGATGTGTATCTGTATGATGTACTGTTAAGTTCTATAACTCCAGGAAGACTTAGTCTAGCTGCATAATTGATCTTGTACTACATTCTTGTATGTTCGAATGAAAGCTCATCTGTGTTGGTAGAATACATAGTTAAAGAGTTTGACTTGTTCCAACACAATAAGGAGAACTCACCATAAATTTTCGGCTGATCCCGTCAACCTTCGTCAGATTTGTGATGCAATCGCTGACTTTCCGGAAGTCGGAAACGTGATGACGTCAGGAGTGCATCAAAAGTGGCGGGAAGACGGTATCTCCCACCATCACGGTTCAGAGAGGGTTGGTGGGCCCTGATGTAAACTGCCTCCTTCACGCCTCTCACAAAGTAATCCTGCTCCGTATCTAGAATGCGCACCTTGTCCAATGCATCACTCAGGCCTTGCTAAACTGTGGCTACCCCAAGTGGGCAGTTTCCAAGGCAACTGCTCCCAAACGTTCTACAACTGATAGAAACCGTCAGTCAAACTCTTCCACGAGGCAGAACAGAGGTTTAGTCGTCCTACCCTATGTTAAGAACACCTCTGAAGCTTTACGGAGAATCTTCGGGACACATGGCTTAAAAACGTGTTTCAAACCGACCCGTACGTTAAGACAGCTATTAGTGGCCCCCAAAGACAGAACCCCCAAAGAACAAAAGTGTGGCGTGATTTACCACATTCGGTGCGCAGGTCAAAATATCAGAGGACCTTGCCCAGAGACATACATAGGGGAAACAGAACGGTCTCTCAAGACTAGATTTCTGGAACACAGGCGCCCCAGTTCAAACACATCGGAAGTGTCGCAACACATACACATCGAGTCCCCCGGACATACAGTTACATTGGACAAGGTGCGCATTCTAGATACGGAGCAGGATTACTTTGTGAGAGGCGTGAAGGAGGCAGTTTACATCAGGGCCCACCAACCCTCTCTGAACCGTGATGGTGGGAGATACCGTCTTCCCGCCACTTTTGATGCACTCCTGACGTCATCACGTTTCCGACTTCCGGAAAGTCAGCGATTGCATCACAAATCTGACGAAGGTTGACGGGATCAGCCGAAAATTTATGGTGAGTTCTCCTTATTGTGTTGGAACAAGTCAAACTCTTTAACTATTCTTGTATGTTGCTAATGGAGGGTTAAGAAAGCGCCACACACAAATGCACAGGTTCATTTCAACACCCTCGCAATGTCGCTTTAGTACTTAAAAGTAATGCATATAATAACCAAAATGATGTACATTTGTAACTTGTATGGTGTTTGTTTAGGGCAAATGTGTAAGAACCGTAACCTTGTACAGGCTAAACTTAAAAGCATACGAGTTTAGAGAGATTTCAGTGACGGATTTGACTAGCTAAATATTTTCCCAACCATCCTTTCCCTTTAAGATAACATAACATAACATAACAAATAGTAGTCATGCCTCCTTTGTAAAGTAAGCTCTGGAAAGGAAAGGCATATAATCTATATAAAAATTAATTATTTTCCACTATATTCTTAACGTCTTACATTGTTTCCTAGTATTACCTTTTTTGTGTATAAAATCTGTAGCTCTAATCCCTTTAGCCTTTTTAGGGCATCCATTGTGAAAATACATTATTTTGTTTACACACAATGAGGTTAATCAAATAATTCTTAATTTGGGATGTACATATAATTTTTTAGTTCAGCATTTTACTAACACAAGAGAAACAAGAGAACCTACAGATTAGATTGGTGTAGGTTGGTGTAGGTGATTGCTTGAAATTTCAGTTTCCTAAAAAATATAGGTGTTGGATAGAGGCAAATAACCTTTGTAATATTGTAATTATCATGATAATAACACAATATGGTACAATTCATTTTATCAAAGGCATGAGGCAAGTCAACATAAAGACTGAATGTTTATTGTTCATAACATAATCTGTATGGAAAGTTCCCAATAAAATGGCAAAAGCTGTACCAGTTTCATGTATTAAATTTAAAACAATGGAAAGACATTCATAACAGATACTTGACTTGAATCCTATAAACTAAAATATCATATGGCCATAAACCTATGGCATATGAACGCTTCGTGATTTCCCTGTAAATTAATGATCGACTTTATTCGGTGGCTTTATTCGGTGGTTTTTGCAACTGACAAAGCTTTATCACACCATATTCACCTTGGGGCGGGTCATTATCCCTTAAATATTTCCAGATTTCCAGATTCCCTTTTACTAGTCTATAAGTACTGAGAAAGTAAGTAGTTTGACAAGTCAGTCTGTTTGTAGTCTTAATTTAATCTCCAAGCAGATCTTTTGGTTAGGGTAAGACAATATCAAATTGGCCAGTCTGTATCCAATTGGATATTTGATATTGTCTTACCCCAACCAAAAGACCTGCTTGGAGATTAGTCTTAATTTTCACAATTACACTCTACCACTAACAAACTAATGTTCGTACTGGTCAGTTGTATGTTTAGAAATGTGTCCTGAGTGACCAGTTTTATCATGTTCAAATGGTGCAGGATTTACATGTACACTGTAGGGTGGCAGAGAATAGGTCTTACACAACCGTGCAGTTCTCTTTGGAAGCCTCAGATGCACTCTTAGTGCAAAGATAATGGCTACTTTCTTCAACCACACGTGAAGATGTACTCAATACAGAAGGAATGTGATGCACTACTACTGGTATATATGAATCAAAGTTGTTCTACAATTTTTCTCATTTTAACCCATAAAATGACGCTTTTTAAAGTTCTTGTTAAAAATTTACCCAATGCGAGGTCTAAAGGTTTCACCTAAGCCAGTCTCTTATTGGGCTGGCCAAGGCCAATAGCTGTCAGCCGTTACAACTTGTTGGACTGGTCATCATTATGTAGCCGCCATCCCCCCAAGCAGCGCAGTTGATGACAATAGCGGCTGTGGAGAGGTCCTCACCAGGTCAGTCTGACTCATTATCTATTTTCTGACAGGCAAAAGTCTCCATTGATTTGCTTGTAATCTATACCTAGAACATGTGTTAGTGCCTTTATATTTTCGGGGTATTTGTCGACCTATGTCTGTATTAAGCGAATTATATTAGAAGAGTTATTGCTAGGACAAAGACTGTAGGGGCTACATATTTTTAGTGTGTTACATTTTCATTGGGGATGAGAATGTTTCCAAGCAGCCACTATCTATCTTTCTGCTAGTTACGATACTTGTAGACATACAGAACTATTGTTAACAATCTGTCATGTCCTCCAAAGACAAAAGGATTTCAGACTTGTCAAGACCAATGAATATGATGTACCCTGCAGGTAGTAGTATTTTTAGAGCACAGGCTTCTGCTTGATTAATTCGCATGCGTCATTAGAGTACCTGATCGTACCTTAGATTTTGGTGTAGTTTTGAATTCTATTGAATTTTTCGATCCAAGACCGTTTTGGGAATGTACAAAAAACTACAGCAGCCTTTAAGACTTTTGTAGGCAATGAGCTGGCTAGTACAATTGACACAGCTTTGTTTGCACAATTCAAAACAACCACACTTACAAATATTCTCAATAATTGAAGTAAGATAAGAAAACATGAGTAGCAGCAACGTGTCCTATTTTGCCACTTGCATTAGACTGAAGGATTTTGTAGGCTATCAATGTGGGCAAAAAAAGCAGGCCAATGCGTCCTGTGTTAGCACCAAATTTTGCCCAAGTAGCCACAAAGTCAACAATGTAGGTTAGTTGATAGTTCAAACAATGAATATGGGATTTGATCAAATCACTGAAATTGATGAATGGAAAATCTGTAACAAGTATGACGTCAAGGGAATTTTATGACAACTGCTGGTGCCAACATATGAGCATTTTGTGGTTGATTCGCAACCTGGATCATGCATGCATTTTGGCAAATCAGAAAAAACGATGTGGCCAAAACCAAGAAACTAAATTGGCATGGCCTTTGATCTGACACCTTGTGTACACGTCTAAAATGGTGACAAACCACCAACAACATTTCAAAAACATTAAATCAATATTTGTAGTAGATCTAGAAATAAAAGCAAGTTAGTTGGATTACATTTACATGTACATTCAAAAATTGCAACGATGTTTAGAACAAAACGATGTCCTTGGATTGGTAATTTCATATCTAGCAGCGATCACGGAATCCTGTAGGACAACTTGGTATAGCCCCAGGTGGTTGTGAAGTACATTTTTGTAGTCACAGTTTGATACTCAAGTTAAAATATAATATTTCAAGTAGCACTCCACACAAAAGACGATATGATATCAAATAACATGTACATACAACAAGGCAATAACAAAATGATAACCAACCGTTGTCATGGCAATAGTTTTTATGGTCAGTCTTGCTAAACTCGTCATCAGGCAAGAATCACAGATTTTTCGATCGGGGTACATTGGGCCGCAGGCATAGCGTGTACTGTGGAATGTCAACTCTGTTCAGGCGGACTTATTGTCGGTATGCGTCATACAGACCTTTCAGACGTTGTATTCTCAAAAACTTTCATCCGACATCACAATACCTTAGGGAGAAGAATCTTTTTTTCTTGTGTGCTGACAGAGTAATGCAAAGTGTAGCCTAAATCTATACAACTAATGTTTAGATGTCGGACAGTTGCAGGACTGAGTACCTTACGATGGCGACGACTGTAAACCCAGTCCCCAACAGAACAACTGTGACCGTGATTGCCGTGTGGTTACTCGTGCTGCTGACCTCCCCCGTTGTACCGTGTCCGGAATCGTGTTCATGTTTTGGTACAGATATTGATTGCGATCGCCTTGGACTCACATCCATTCCAGACAACATACCCAATACAGCAACATCGGTATACCTGTACGACAATGCTATACAAACTATTAAGACCAGCGCTTTTTCTGGTTTGTCAAATCTACAGTACCTCAACCTAGACGACAATTCCATAACCACTCTCACCAACGGTACATTCTCGGGGCTGTCCAGTCTTCAGGAGCTGTACCTTAGTGGCAATCTCATCAGAAGAATTCCCAGTGGTGCTTTTCACGGCATATCTAACCTTACTAAACTTTCTCTCGGCTACAATTTAATACAAAGCATCCCAAATGGTGCTTTCATTGGCTTGTCAAATCTAAGAGAAATCAATGTAGACAACAATTTCATTACCACCCTCACCAATGAGACATTCTCCGGGCTGTCCAGTCTTCAGAGGCTGGATATTCGTCACAATCTCATCAGAACACTCCCCGTTGCCGCTTTTAACGACCTATCTGATATCCATCATCTAGATCTCGGCTACAATTTCATTAGGAGCATCGCAAATGGCGCTTTCGTTGGTTTTTCAAATCTACAGAACCTCTATATAAACAACAACTTTATAACCACCCTCACCAACAGGTCATTCTCCGGGCTCTCCAGTCTTCAGGAGCTGGACCTTAGTCATAATAGAATAGGAATGATGCAGGGCGGCGCTTTTAGCGACCTATCTAATCTTTATTTTCTAAATCTCGGCTACAATTTCATTAGCAGTATTACAAATGGCGCTTTCATCGACCTGTCAAGTCTAGAGAACCTCTATATAGACAACAATTTCATAACCACCCTCACCAATGGGACATTCTCCGGGCTGTCCAATCTTGACTGGCTGGACATTCGAAACAATCTAATCAGAAATGTTCCCAGTAGCACTTTTAACGAACTATCCAACCTCTATGGTCTGGATCTCTCCTACAATTTTATCAGCAGCATCGCAAATGGCGCTTTCATCGGCCTGTCAAGTCTAGAGGACCTCTATGTGGAAAACAACTTCATAACCGTCATCACCAACGGAACATTCTCCGGGCTATCTAATCTTCAGGAGCTGTATATTGGTCATAACCGCATCCGAAAATTCTCCGGTGGGGCTTTCCATGGCTTATCAAGGCTTTCATGCCTTTATCTCTACTACAATTTCATCAGCCACATCACAAATGAAACTTTCGTCGGTCTATCCAACCTAGAATTTCTTCACCTTGGGCACAATTCCATCACAAGCATTACCAGTGGTGCTTTCACCGGTCTGCCTAAGCTTTGGAATCTTAATCTCCGTAACAATGGCATCACAAGTATCTCCTGTAGCACGTTCGTCAGTCTACCAAACCTATATAAATTGGTACTCGACAAAATCGTCATAACTACCATCACTGGAGTCGTTTTGCCAAACCTTGAATCCTTATATCTTCGGCATACTCGTGGCATAGCAAGTGTCACGAGTGACCTTTTCATCGGTCTCCCGAGGCTACAAGAATTGTATCTGCAGTATAGTGGCATCACAAGTATAGCAGGAGGAGCTTTCAGTGGTCTGTCCAATCTTGAGTATCTGCATCTTGACAACAGCGACATAACAACTATCACCAGTGGAGCTTTCAGTGGTCTGTCCAGTCTTAGGTATCTGTATCTTGACAACAACGACATAACAACTCTCACCAATGAAACTTTTAGTGGTCTGTCCAGTCTCCGTTACCTGCATCTTAATAACAACGACATAACAAATATTGTCAGTGGTACTTTCAGCAATCTTTCTAGTCTTTGGTATCTATACCTTTACAACAACAGCATAACAAATATCACCAATGGAACTTTTAGTGGTCTGTCCAGTCTTAATGGACTGGGTCTTAAGAGCAACGACATAAAAAATATCACCAGTGGAGCTTTCAATGGACTGTCCAGTCTTCGTCAACTGAATCTTCACAACAACGACATAACAACTCTCACGAGTGGAGCTTTTAGTGGTCTGTCCAGTCTTCGGTATCTGTACCTTGAAAACAACGACATAAAGTATATCGCCAATGGAGTGTTTAGTGGTCTGTCCAGTCTTTTTCATCTGTACCTTCAAAACAACAGTATAACAGAAATCGCCAGTGGAGCTTTCAGTGCTCTGTCGAGTCTTTCTGAACTGTACCTTGAGAACAACGACATTACGACTCTCGTCAGTGGTACGTTTAGTAATCTATCCAGACTATTAACTCTGGAACTTCAGAATAATGACATTGAAAATATCGCCAGTGCTGCGTTCAGTGGGCTTGGCAATCTTCGGAAACTAAATCTTGATGACAATATCATAACCAACATCAGTATTGACACTTTCATTGGACTGTCCCGTCTTCAGTATCTGTACCTTCGTAACAACAAAATAACAACTATCGCCGGTGACACTTTCAGTGCTTTGTCCCTTCTTATATATCTGTACCTTCAGAACAACGACATTACAACCATTGGCAGTGGCACTTTCAGTGGTCTGTCTAGTCTTTCTGTACTAGACCTTCAAAAAAATGACATTTCAACCATCAACAGTGGTGCTTTCAGTGGGCTTGGCAAACTTCGCACTCTAAATCTCGATGATAACACTGTGATCACCATCCATTATGGCACCTTTACGGGTCTGATCAATCTTTCACGTCTGTATTTTCGTAACAACGCCATCAAAACTATCGACATCGGTACTTTCAGTGATCTATCAAATCTTCGACGTCTACATCTCGATAACAATGTCATCTCAAATATCCCCAACGGTACTTTCAATGGACTGTCCAGACTTTATGAGCTTTCCCTCAACAACAACACTATACCACAGCCAAGCATCAGTTTTATCTTTGGCCCGTCCAATCTTGAATACCTGTACCTTCAGAACTGTGGCATAACAAGCATTGACAGTATCACTTTCACCGGTCTTCCTGGACTTAGCTCCCTGTATCTAGACGGCAATCTCTTAACCAACATATCCGGTATTCTATTCACACCGCCTAAAACTAATTTAACAAATCTGTATCTTCGCAACTGTGGCATTATAAGTGTCAACAGGGACAGTCTCAGGAATCTACGAAGTCTTTCCTCTCTACATTTGGACAACAATTTAATATCCAACATTGAGAACGGCACATTCATTGGTCTTTCCCGTCTTAGAACCCTCAATCTTCAAAACAATTCTATATCCAACATCGAGAATGGCACATTCATTGGCCTATCCCGTCTTCAAACCCTCAATCTTCAGACGAATTCCATATCCAACATCGATGATGGTGCATTCATTGGTTTATTCAGTCTTGAAACCCTCAATCTTGCCAACAATATTCTGTCCCATATAGCACGAGTCCATTTCATGGACCTGTCGAATCTTCAAAAGATGAATCTTAAGAACAATAACATACGTCACGTCGATGCCAGGGCCTTCTCTTATATTCTAAATCTAGCAGAGCTGTATCTTGACGGCAACCCCTTAGGAAACCTAACGGATGACCTCTTTGTCCACATACCCAAGCTACATGTTATCAGTTTAGTCAGATGCAAACTCACCACCGTACCGACCTTGCCGCCATCTATCAAATCAATCCATCTTGGTGGGAACCCAATACAAGTACTACAGTCGGGAGATTTCAACGACCTGAAAAACCTTCTGAATCCAGATATTTGCAACCAATACGTGAAAGCACAGGCAGATTACGATCAAATAGATGAGGACGACCACTCCTACTTAGACTATTTCGACTACTACTACTATTACAACGAATACGACGACAACTGTGACTACAGTAGATCATACAAGAATGCAACAGATTACCCGATCACCACTATAGCGAGAGGGGCGTTCACCAACCTCGATCATCTGACGGTTATAACGTTACGGGGTAACGGCATCATCAACGTTTTGCCTTTAGCTTTCGTCAACCTGCCAAGCCTGGTCGATGTAGATTTGAGTTACAATGAGATCGCCTATCTACTTCCAGACACATTTGTGGACGTACCACGTCTTCGGTTCCTGTATCTCCATGGCAACAAGCTCACCGCCCTTCCACCGGAGCTGTTTGGCACACTGCCAGCACTGGAAAAAGTCACTCTGTACAACAACCCGTGGAGGTGTGACTGTTGGCTACGAGGCCTTGTAGAATGGATGAATACCACAGACGTGACATACGAGAGTCAGTCACCGGTTAAGTGCGCATCGAGTCCAGTGCCGTCCCTGCTGAATGTGTCACTGTCACAAGTGGATCCCCAGTCACTGATCTGCGAGCAGACCACAACACCGCAATTAATATTAACATCGACAGCTATCAGCCACACCAGCACGAAGTTAGAAGAAAACACCATTCCCTCGCCTACAAAAAATACTGTTGTAACAGTTACCCCCAGCCTCTATCCACCAAGAGATGTCTCCTTGGTCACAACAGCCGCCACTGAATTGACAGTTCAATGGGAATCTCCCTCTAACGATGTCATGGGCTACATGATCTCTTACATGAACACAAAGAGTGGCCAAGTTCAGCGGATCCAACTAATTCATCCAAGCGTCAATTTCTACACTATATCTTACTTGTCTCCAGGTACAACATATCGCGTGTGTGTAGTCGCTCTGTATACAGTGGGCAGAAGTACAGCAACAAACAACACGTGCATCACGGTCACAACTAAAGAGGATTCTGCAACAAGAGGCACAGGCACAGATCAAACCCTGGTCATATCTCTGGCAGCAGTGAGCGTCATCGCAGCGGTGTTCATTGTGTTAACAATCGTGATGTGCAAGGTACAACGTTTGTGCTTAGGTTTCGATTTGGGTATGGTGGACAGATAAACTATAGTCTTTGGGTGCGAGGTCAATAACAATTCAGGTGAGGAGGGGAAAACTTCAAATAAGGAACATTGAAAATTGCTTAAAGTTATGATATAACTACAACTACAGTTGAGGTTTACCAGTTACGTATTTCAAATGACTAAATGTATTCTTGAAAAAAGGAAAGAACGGTTAAATTTGTTACTAAAATATCTTTCTATACCATTTCAGTTGAGGCGGATGCAGCGGACTACATCTACTACTACCCATGATACAGCACAGGACATGCAAATGGTGCCTCCGTCCAAGAACACCACGAACACCGACGTGGTACTGGTGACAACTCCATCTGACAATAGTCTGGACATGGCGGTCGGGGGACCAACAGCAACCACTTCTGACGACCACTTCTACATGCACCTGTTACATTCCGACACACAAACAGATGGCGCCACAAACATAACTGATGAAAGTGGTGCAGCACCCCTGGGTAGACAGTCTGACACTGTGGCCGCAACTTCCTCTGACATGGCAGCCGGAGGACCAACACCAACCACTCCTGCCGACAACTTCTACATGCCTCTGGTACATCCTCACACACAAGCAAGTGGCATCACATCAGTAACAATTGGCGATAGTGGGGCAGCATCCCTAGGTAGACAGTCTGACACTTTGGTGGCAACTTCCTCTGACATGGCAGCCGGAGGACCAACACCAACCACTCCTGCCGACAACTTCTACATGCCTCTGGTACATCCTGACCAAAGTGGCGAAAGTGGGGCTGCATCCCTAGGTAGACAGTCTGACATCGCGGCGGCAACTGACAATAACTTGGACATTGCACCCCGTGGATCAGCACCAAACACCCCTGGCGACCACTTCTACAAGAACGTGGCACATCCTCGCACACAGGCAGGTGGCGTCACAGACCCAGCAGGAACAACTGGCGAAAGTGGGGCTGCATCCCCAGGTAGGCAGTCTGACAGTGTACATGTATATGAAGATGTTAATGAGACAAGACAGCAACATGGTGGAAGTTTTGAGGACCATGTCTATCAGAACGATGCACTGTAGTGTTATAACGCTTACTGTTTCCTATTTTATAGTATTATCTAATATTTGTATATAAAATCTGTATCTTTAATTCCTATAGTGACATGTATTTTGTTCACAAGTAATAAGGTTAGTCAAATAATTCTACAGATTTTTTTCTTACTCTGAGAAATCGTTAACTCAGAAAGTGTTTTGATGTACAGTTATTTTTTCAATTAAGCATATTTCTAAAATACGACAACCTACTGATTGTGGGGCTTACTGTGCAATTTTATAATTTTGCTCAGCAAAGTTATATACACTGGTGTTGGGGGTCAAAAAGAACTTAAGCATTATTGTAATAATCATAATAACAAAACTAGAGTTCCCCGATCTCATACCTTCGCCAAATGATGTTAATCTTTATGACTGACAAAGTTTAGATTAGATTATTCCCCCCTGATTTAAGAAATAGGAACCTAATTTTTATGAATTATATCATTTTATCATAATCTCAACCAAAAGACAGTCTTATATTAACAAACAATGCATTCTAGCATTTCCTAATAAATTATGCAAATGAGGTCCTGATTTGAATAAATTATGTTTAATGATGTTCACCTCAATTTAACTTTCAAATACCACAAGTATGAAATTCCAGGCAGTTATCATTACATAATTATAAAATTTTCTCATTAATTATGCAAATTAAGTCATTATTAACATAATCAACATCTTCCTGTGTTTCTCTCGTTGTCAATTACCAATGTCACAAGCTTCAATTGTCCTATCATGGAATGCAGCTGATTTATAAATTTCCCCATAAATTATGCAAATTACATCCATATTTGCATAATTGTCACATAATTATATTAAGCATCACGTAAGCTACCTACATACCAAAAATCACGACGATCCGTCAACCGGTTCTTGAGTTATCCCCTTTTGAATATTTTCAAGAATTTATCCCTGCAGTTCCAGAGCAAGCCGCTAGGGGGCCTAAACTCACGTCACTTTTTTCCCAGCACAAGAGCTACCTACCATCTAAATTTCATCACCATAGCATGTCTAGATCATGAGATATCAAAACCGGAAGTTCAGCTGCAGTACCATAACAAGCTGCTAGGGGGTCCAAAATCTAATCATTTTGAGGTCTCATCAAGACCTACCCACCTACCAAGTATCAAGACAATCCATCAAGGCCTTCTCAAGTTATCGTGTTTACAGACAGACAGACAGACAGACACACACACACACACACACATACACGAACGCCCCTGAAAACATAACCTTCTTGGCGAAGGTAATAACAATACCAAAGGGATGAGGCAAGTCAACATGAAGGCTGAATGTTTATTGTTCATAAGATAATCTTTAAAATTTGTTACAATGTATGGAAAGTTCCCAATAAAATGGCAAGAGATGTTCCAGTGTCATGTTTAACTTTAAAACAGTGGAAAGACTTTTGTAATAGAAAATTAAGTACTGATCCTTTATGGGGACTTCAATCCTATAGAGTAAAATATCATATGGCTATAAAACTATGGCATACTTACACAATATCCTCTTCTTTTAATCAACGTCAATTAAATACAAATCACTAAAGACATTTTACCTCAGATAGCTAGGCCATCATGACAAGGCAAGATAGCCAAATACATGAATAATCTTTGTGGTCTCCTATACATACTCATGCAGTTCATAATATGAATTACATATTTTTTATCAAGGTACACAAGCCTATATATTCATAAACTTTATGGCATTTATAATGACAAGTTTGAAACCTTTTATTTCTGCACTGTATTTCTACTTTCCTTGTACAAAAAGAAACTTTCCTATCTTTTAATCAAATTGTTTATAAAATATCAGATTTCGAGTAAAAAAATTAGTCGGAGGGAAAAATTCACTGTTTACTTATGGTACCACTGTACACAGCTAAGACTCATATCTTTAGAACATACATAACATTCCTATTATAACAATTGGCACAAGATACAACAGAGTATTTATAATGGTCAATACAAAGACATAATTACTGTACTACACTTCATACAGCCACTTTGAACTCATTTTCGAAATATAAGGGATTGGTCATTTCTTTTTCTTTACAGTGAATTTCAAAAGCAGCTTTAATTTCTGCAAAGCAAAAACTGTTGCCTTTATAAGTTGTTCTCTACATGTATGGCTTACTACCAGAACATGTCTTTCTTTCTGTGCATAACAGAGTCCAACACACTGGTACAGATGTAAGTGTTGGCTGTGCCACCTTGTGCAAAATCCCACATTTGCCCAACAATCTTATAATTCTGATATTCTCTCAAAGCTTCATTCACATCATCAACATCAAAATACTGTTTGGAAAAAACATCACATTCAAATACCATTCTTTGAAAGATGGGACTTTCTGTGTTTAAAAGTCACTCAGCGCCCCATCCCATTTCAGACTTATAAAACACACTAAGTGAGAAGCCATGTACCATTATATATGCTATGATATTACAGAAAATGTAAAATTGGTGCATTATGTTTCGCACAGATGCCTCTGTGCTAAGTAAGTACAAAATTCATCCTTCTTGTAAAAATAATCATATACATTAACAGTGGATTTATGAGAAGTTACTTTACACAAGTGTTCTTAACATTATCATAATAATATATGTTTTACTGAGGCAACAATTAAAATAGGCATCGATATCTAATTCCTATATAAGGATTTTTACATACATTTCATTTGTTGGGGTGTATAAAATATGATACATGTGTGTAGAAGTGCTCGGCTACACCTGCCAGAGTAGTAAGTGGTTGGTGCTGTCGTCACGCCCGGCAGTGTCGGAGGGGAAACTGAGATGGAAGTCTTCGTAACCGTCGCCGCCGCTGATCACTAACATTGACAGCGCCGGGGTGACGGGGCTGACCTCAGCCTGGGAACGCCAGCTGCCGCCACTTTTCAACGACCCTAAAAACAACAAGGCAATTTCTGTAAGCCTTGGGCTTTCAGCTTAAGTCCTTAAATTATACCTTTTAAATGAAAATCTTGATTGTCAATTACAATTTCTAAGATTTGGTTTCGACTTCTGGTTCACCGATTTTCAAATTAGTATTACCTTTACTAATTAGAATCCATTAATACCTTTTATTTCATTACCAATAGAATTATAATTCTTCACCCTAAAAACATTTTTATATTCATACTAGAAAAATACACACACATACACTGATACACCACCAGACAAAAGTAGAGAATAAACTGTACTTTGCTGATGAAGGATAAAGTGACTGTATGAAATTTGAGTAAGCTGGGCCTATAACTTCTGTGTCAGAAAAACAGTTTTACTTAGCACAATAACAAACTCTGCTTACCCATGATGACATTACCCATCCTTTTCGTTGCGGTCAGCTCGACGGCGGTGAGGAAGCGTACATGTCCGGTGTGTCCGTGCGAGGACCCCAGCACGGTGGGGACGTGGCGTAGACTGGTGGTGTTGGTGGTGATGTGGGGGAGGGGGACGGTCACCACCACCCCTGCACTGGTCCCCACCCACAGCAGGTCCTTACACGCCAGCAGGGCCGTGATCCTGAGACAGGCTGCCTTGTGCTGACGGATGATCGCATCCGAACCTTCCGGAAGAAATTATACATTATCAGAGAGTGCTTTTTTGACTATGGATGTGTATGTGTATTTGAATGTGTATAAGTATGCTTACATATGTGTATGTGTATGTGTATGTCACAATGTGTATGTGTGTATGTGTATGTGTATGTGTATGTGTATGTGTATGTGTATGTGTATGTGTATGTGTATGAATGAAGCATATGGATTTTTCAGAGTTGTCAAAATGTCTAAAACATTCTTCTTTGTCTAAAACATTCTTTGAATTGTCAGTCCATGAACTTTGTCTCACCCTTTCAGCACTACAGTTAAATTCAGTATGTGTACATGTTTAACAATTTTCCATGTTCACTTCTGTGTCATACAGTCATGTACAATAGGTACAAAGATTTCTGTGAAGAAATGTACTGCCCAGTAAACCTACAGTACTTCCTGAACACATCTATAAGCGTATCACGTTCTACAAAAACACTAGAGTATCCCAGAATCATTGAAGAGACCAGTCAACAGCCCCACCTGCCAGCATCTTGTGAACTGCAGGAGCGACGTCCACCTCCAGCAGGAGTGAGTATGACGTGGCGTGGAACAGGCGCAGCTGTGCAGACCCCAGCAGGGACACCCACACACCCAGACCCATGCTCACGATACAGTTAATCACACGGCTGCTGTCATCAGTCACCTCATAGGAGTGCTGCAAGGGGAAAAGGTTTTTATTTCCTTGTACAGTAGAAGAGTAGCCTGTGAAACCCAAGCTCCGGAGGGCTCCCTACATAGTCCGCGGACTAACTAGGGAGCCAGCGAAAAGCGAGGTTCAGTCAGGCTAAGTAGAAGAGGATCATGTTTTCACTTGAAAAAAGTCAGTACAGCTGTGAAAAGAAAAAGTGCACTAAAAATTAAAATTTCTTTCTCTTTGCTGCCATTGTGGAAAACTTTTTAGTCTGTGACGGAACCTATAATATGCTGATTTAACAGTACAAGAGTACCTATAGAAAGAGCAACAACTTATACTGTGTTTGGGAGCCTTTGATACAACTTCAACATCAATAGACAATGTAAAATTGGCTCCATATTTGAGGTGTCACAAAAAAAGAGCAATGAGTACCTCCACAGTTAGAGAAGTTGTGTTCATGATCATGATGTTGTTCTGACATCCACACCAGACCCTCCCTGCCACAGCCAGCATACGTGTGATGGGACTGTTCACATTACCTATGGTCAGGGTGATGGGCTGCTGCAGGTCCCAACCACAACCTGGGAGACAACCAGTTATCATGATGGTAAATATACATCAACAACCTGGGGAACAACCAGTTATCATGGTAAAAAAAAAAGCAATCAGATATAGCAGACTTCATACAGAAACTGCAGTGTGGAAACACACATACATATATATATATACACACACACAGGCAAGCCCAAAACAATACTTCACAATGTTGTTGTTTGTCCATACAAATGTATAACAAGTACAAAATTTCAAAGATGATACAGTTAAATTAAGGGAAATGTATTGAGATACAAACAACTACATGTAATTCTATGATTCTTACCTGGCTCCCTTCGATACACAACCATGTCACCATTGGCTAAGGACACAAACACTTTGTTGTCCAGATACCTGCATTTTAAACAACAAAAACAAGAACACACATTACATACATTATGAAAACCTCATGACATCAAGCTGTATCATGCTGCAAAACTTATCTATTTTGTGTAGTAACTGTTCTTGAGCTAAATTTCTTAACTTCCAAGAGAGCAAGTTTTGCATACATTGCATATAAGTATGCCACTTACAGAATGTCCTGTACAGCTGCAGTGTGCTGCAACTTGGTTCTGTTTTTGCTCTTCCTGATGTTCTCTGGATCCCCACACTGGTAGATGTGGATACTGCAAACAAGATTCAAACAAGTGTTAAAATCTAGTTAGTAAGTTTCATCAGGTTGGACATATACTGGAAATATTTTCCTACGTCTTTATGTGAACTGTCAAACATGAATAATCATAGTGTCCTCTATCTGTAAAGACCATTATGACAGCCTCCTCACCACCCATCCTCTGTCCCCAGCCACATGGTGTTGTGAGCAGCACTAGGAGACACCAGTAGGTCCTCTAGGCTCCCCTGCACCGCCGTGCCGAAACTCGTCTTCCTGAAGGCGAATCCCTCCCCGAGAGCCGCCTGGCGAGATTTCTCGTCTTCTCCCTCCTCCCGCAGCTGCACCTCCTGCTTCTGTTTGTCTGTCATCTCCGTCCACACGTCGTGGGTCTTCTTGTTGTCGGCTTCCTTTGTGTCATCTTCTGTATCTGAAGGAGTGTAGAAACACAGGGATAAGCTCTATAGAACAGAACAAACTGTAACAATAGCAGAACTCCTAATGTATACAATAAAGTAATTAGCACAATATAATATCACTAGTCTAAAAAGGGCAAATTTCTGTCACTTTCACAAAAAATAGCTGCTAGATGTATGACAAGAGTTTAGTTGTGACTGAAAAAACAGCATATTTTAATCACATATTCTACAAATTCCTTGTTTGTATTCACATGGCAGGTATTTATTGTCAACTCAGCCTCAGAATCTGCATCTAATTCTTGCCACTCACCTGAGTCGCTTTCTTCAGAGATCACTAGTGCATGTCTCTTGTTCCCTAATGGACAAAAGGAGAACTGGTCAGGAAACATTCTATTCCACTTCATCAGCCATCAGTGATCTTAAAAAAATACACAGTCACACATGTACTGTATGTATCCAGTTTTCCATTAATTCATTACTTCCTCATTCATCTATCCATTCACGTCAATCAATCAATCAATCAATCACTGAATCAATCACTGAATCAATCCCTGAATCACCTGTAGCGACTTGTTGATGGGACAGGAATGGTGATAGTGAGGGTTGTGTGCGGATGGGGGGGATGGTGTTCTTGTTAGTCGGGGAGGACACCTCCTCATCACTGCTGTCTGAGTTCCCACCTTTAGACTCCTGCTGCTTGTCCTTCTTGGCTGCAGCTTTGGGCGCCTCATCTGTACTTGTCGTTCTGTAAAAAAAAATCAGTTAGATTTAACATACTTCAAATTTTAACCTTTAATACATGTCAACAATGTTTAGATAAACATCTCAACTTAAGGACACACTTTCGAACAACATTAAGCCCTATAGTTTTCCACCTATTTCAACTTTCAGAACTCCATAACAAAAATCTGCAAAAGATAAGTGACTAGAGGCATTACAAGCTCTCCATGTCAATAGAATACTGCATGGGAAACAAATACCTAAAAGTATACACTGTAAGTATACACAAGATACTCAATGGGTAAAATAGATATGCAATACAATGCTTATGGAAGACTGCAGTCACTGAGCACTTTATAGTTTAATACTTAACATTTTCCTGATATAAAAAGAATGACTTGGTAATTTGAGTACCCACCTCTTGGCCCCGTTGATGGCAGGAACAGCAGTGATACAGAAGATGCGAGCGGAACACACCGAGATGCATGCAGCAAGGCTCGGGTCTTTCCCCATGCTTAACAGGCAAACCTGGTGTAAAACACAGCACACTGTTAACAACCGTTATTACATGTCAATTATATGTCATAATATATCATATGAATAGTGAATACAGTGGATTACATGTCATAATCTGAGAAAAGGTGACAAGATAATAATTTGAAAATAAAAATCATGCATGAAATGCTCAAGAATAAAAAGCTTTTGAAAGAGAGTGGGATGAGATACAGGTAAGATCTGATCGAGAGATCTGTAGAAAGGTACACTTGCCTGTCCCACATAACCATCACTGTTACAGATCCACACAAAACGGTTCGTTCCAGTCACACTGCTCAGGCTTGGAGACGCACAGGAAAACTGGGAAACAAAACACAGCTTTTGTAACAGATATAATCATACGTTGTCACTCTCTATATCTAAATGTTATTATTCTGAGTAACATATATTACGAAAACTTTTCTACTTTTGGTAAAAGTAAGTAAAAGTGAAAGTAAATAAATATGTATCAGACAATCTGTACATTGCTTACCTGCATACCACTGCGTGTCTTCATGATGGGGATAGGCTTTAGGAATACAGGGTCCCAGCACTGCTTAGATGAAGCTGAAAAAAAAAATTAAGGTATTTAATATTTATTATATGATTGTACTGTTTTTGGAAACTCACAAACATTTTTCTACACAGGACTTAATGCAGCAGTAGATTCATGGCTCGTATAACAACTCCACTGATGCATGCTACACCTAAAAGGAGAAGGTGTATCCTGCACAAATTGACATGTACAGAGTATGTTGGACATTGGGACATACCTAGCTTCTGCTTGGCATCGGAAAATGCAGTCTCCCATGATGACTTTGCCTCTGGTGTGCCAAAGATATAGATGAAGTTCTCCATGCCTTCACTGTAAATGAATCACCACAACAAAGGTTAGCCTCACAGGGATACAGAAACCTGGCTTGCCTTTGAAAAAGACCTTATGATGCAGTCCCTTTGTTACCCACTAGGGGGCACCTGTCTACTAGGTAAAAATTTACAAACACATTATGGGTCCCTCAAAAAGGATGCTTATGAAGTGGCCAACTGTATCACAAAAGAAAAAGCACTGCCTACTTATGGTGCAGTCCCTTTATGGACAACTAGGTGGCGCAAGTGTACAAAGCAAAGGTTTAACAGTGCATTCTGTACTTACAGGGAAGAAGTGGTGAGCTCCAGTTTGGTGTTGGCGTGTGTCTTCATGGTGAGCTGTAAGGCCTGCTTCTCCTGCAGCTGTTTCTCTGCCACTTCCAGCAAGTCATGCAGAAGTTCTGTCAGGGTCTGTAAAACAAAAATAAATACATTTTCTCTCAAGGAGTCATCAGAAGTCTAATAAGAATTTTGAGTTAAAGTCGAACAAAATGATAGCAAAGCCATGCCAATTGATTTTCATAGTTTACAGACATTATGAAGCAAAAAGTGAAAATGGGTCTGTGAAAAAACTTTCCTCTGCCTACATTCACTACATGAAACCCTGTGTGCACCCTGCACCCAACTCAGCTCAGCAACATTTTTCTTTAAGTCCAAGAGCAGACAAACTAAGAGAAAACTGATGTCTGACCTGGTGAGGAGAGTTGAGTGAGTCGGCCATGTTGACCATCTCCCTGATAGCTGACAGGTCCTCCTCTAACTTCTGTATACTGTGTTCCAGGTTCACACGGCTGCTGCCAACTGCCTCACCTGGTGACGGAACGAATAAAGGAAGAAAAACACCAAACAAGGAGTCATCTTTTTGTACTTTAGTCAATCTTAAAAGTAGAGGTATACATGTATAATATACAATAAGCAATCGAAATCTGATGCAAAATTATCCCATACAAAAAGAACGTTACCTTTGATGACCTCTATTTGGTCCAAGGACAGTTTCCACAGAACCTTATACTTGCTGCCAGTGTCAATGTTACTGCTCATGGAAAACCTGTACAGGAAATAATGGGTATGATTTAAGGTACAGAAAGTGGATGTACAATTTTTAATATACCAGTAGCTTTGTAGTTAGTTGAACATACCAAAAGTTTCTCAACTGAATACTAATCTAAAGTAAAATGTCATACCAGAAGAAAGCAAGTGCCTTCCACTACTCATCAGTTCCATTAATGTTATAAAAATGCCCCTTTGTAGACGATTTCAACACAGTTTCTATACAAATTACTATGGAGAACATGTGCAACTGATTCCGATGTTTTTACTGTAAGGCAACATGTTTGCGAAGTTTGATAGACTTACAGGTTCATGGAGCTCCTCCTGAGAGACCCAGTCCTCCTCTTGTATGTTGTACAGATGAGCAGGTCTGAGAACAGGAACAGACTCCTCTCCTTCTTACTACCAGGCTGGCCCTTTTGCTGGAACATAGGACATAGGAACAGACATTGTCTTTCATGTATACTCCAACAGCTATAATGGCTTCAATACCACAACAGAACCTTCTGGTTGTAATGTTCCCTTTCCTTTCATTCATTACAACAGATATCCCTTTGTTATGCAATAACTTCTTTATGTAATAAATTGTTAAACTGAATGGATTTTCGAAGAACGGAAGAACTATAAAATGACAACTGAATGACTTACCATCTCATATATAATGTCTTGGTGAATGAATCTCCGATGGGTTGCAACAAGCTGAAATGACAAACAGATTACATTATAGTTAATTGAAACACATTGGTGAGAACTTGTGGGAGGTGGGAGACAATGAGAACTTGTGGGAGGTGGGAGACAATTTCAGTAAGATCAGAACCCACATAAAATGTCTTCATGACTTCAAGTACTAGTTAAAAAGGCCACTGGAAATTCTATATTTTTTGTTAAAGTTGCAACAAGGCTATGAATGATCCCACTCCAATGGACTTATCAGAAAAAAATGATGCTATATCATGACACTAGTTATTCAGAGACAGTACAAGGTATGTGAGAAATACGTACCTCGCCCTCCCCCACCCCCTCGATGAGCCCCTCCAGCTCCCTGAGCAGCTGCATGTGTCTCTCCATCTCCTCCACCTCCTGCTCCCCTCGGTTCATCCTCTCTGCCAGGGTACGGATCTCCTCCTGAGCCAGTCTCAGGCTGCTGTAGTCAGGGTGGTCCTCTGGCGTGTGCTTCAACAGGTCCTGGAATGGCAAACTCACTTGTCATTTCAACCAGTGCAGCCTATGCCTAAAATGCTGCAAACTAAACTGTCGAACACAACTACTATTTTGAAGAGCCACGCTAATTCTGGCCATCTCTCAGCCTTCCACAATGATAAATATTAACAAAATCTTCAGCAAATGATTCTCTAGACCCTTTCTCTTTTGAGTATGAAGATTTATTGTGAAATCCTTACCTGCCAACGCTCACACCTGTGTAGTACAATCTACAGAAATTAATATCTGATTCACAAAAAGGAAGTTAGAGGAATTTTGGCCTGGATACTGTTATGTTTGTTGAGGGAGACATTGTAGTAAGTGTTAGCTTACCCAAACATTGGTTTTCCTAGGGGAAGACCTGAAGGGGAACATTCATTAGAAACTAGGGTGGGAGGATCTAAAATCTTCCATACAAGGGATCGCAGAGGCTTTAATAGTCCCAGGTGGTGAGTTGGAGGGTAAAAAAAACAAAATTGGGAAACAGAATAATCTTATTAGTAGTACAGAATTGTGGGTAAGTACAGTAGACCATCTTGTTTTCATTTCTGCGGTATTCCAGTGCATCAACCTGCATTTCTTCCATGGAGTGCTAGGTGGCTCTAATGTGCTAGGCAGTACAGTCGTCCCGGACTACAAACCAAAATACAATCAACTGTGACAAGAAGCCCATACGTCTGTTTGTACTACAGCAAAGAAATTAAATTTTTCTCTTCTCTTCTTACGTTTCTAATTCTTATGTTCATTGATACAGCAAAAACCTTCAAATCGCTGCTTTGTACATTTTGTGTATTAATATTCTTTTTTTGTTAATTAAATGCCTGACTCTCAACAAGTGGAAGTCTGACACTGAAGTATGGTTATGTTGTAGTTTTGTACCTTTATCAGCAGCTCATAGCGAGGAATCCTCTGTACAGGTTTGATCATCAGGTCAGCCAAACCCTGCTTCTCCTTGTTCTCACGGACACATTGCTGAAACAGAGTCAATGCTTTACTTAAACTTTCACACTTAAACGAATGAGAACTGTGAAAGAAGATTTGGAGTCACCTAGAGCTGTGTACCGGTACGCAGTACCGATACTGTACCGGAAAAATTGATTAGGTACAGGTCCAAAATACCTAATCCCTCAGTACCGGTACTGTACCTAAACAATTTTACACTAATTTTATGCCTATTTGTGACCTCAAATGTGTAAATAGCTGGTCCACAATGGGTCCCTGTGTAAGGACAGTGTGTTCATGAAAACAAAAACAACTTAGTTTTGCCTATATTTTATCTGAGCATTCGCCATAAACAAAGAATAAACCTTAACTATCAAGTTTATTTATGTTTTTTTTTTGTTATTGAAGGAGTTCAGAAGAGCATATAAATTGGTCGAATTGTTCAGGTACAGGTTCAGGTCCGGACCTGTACCTAAACCTGTGTACCTGTACCTGTACCTGTACCTAAAATTTGTTTAGGTACACAGCTCTAGAGTCACCATATGTACATGTAATATGTAACTTTGGGGTATAAAATCTGCACAACTTATCTATTTCAGCATGGAAAAGGTTAATATGCCTTTTGTAATTCCATAGACATAATGTAGTTTCTCTCAAACATTGCCACTTACCTCTATGAACTTGCTGAAGACAGGCTTGGCCTGCTCGGCCATCCGTACTGCTGCCTTCGCTGTCAGGAAGTTGTTGATGTAGGCTCTGTACGACTCCACCAACAAGTCTTTGGTGAACTGGACATCAAAAGAGACTCAACACATCAGTCTAACATATCATAGAGGAGACTGACGACGTTCATACATGTAGGTATGCAAGTTCTGATAGACAACTTCAAGTCAAATCTACGACGTCTCCACAAGTTAGCCTACTATGTGGTAACTGTGGTTTAATTAGGAGGTATCCTAGCCTCCCACTCAGTTCTTAACCACTTAGGCAGCCGGCCAAGTATTTTGTAAATTGCTGGAAATGACGCGTACCGTGTTGACGATGATGTCCCCGATCTTCTGCCTGGGGTGCCAGGAGCGCGTGCGGTTGGTGATCTGCTCCAGGAAGTGCTGGTGGTGCTCCAGGATCTCCGGGATCTGGTAGAAGATCTTGTCCACCAGCTCCGACTCGCAGATCCCCGCATTTTCCGGCCTCTTCAGTGGCTTCAGGTAACCCTGCAATTTTCAAGGACAACGTCGATATGTCACAGACTGACTTAGAAGAAAAGTACATGTATATAAAAGCCTTTAAGAGTTGCTCTTGAAAATTCTAAGTGTATGACTTGGCTTCCTTTAGATTTGTAGATACAGGCTTGTGTTGTAATCACAATCCACTCAATACCCCCAGAATTTTCTAAGACAACATTGCTATGTCATAAATAGACTTGGATGTAAGTACGGATTTCCAGAGATTCTAAATACAAATCTAAATAGGAAGAATGACTTGGCTTCCTTCAGGATTCCAGATGTACCATCCTTCCCTCCAAGAAAAGGTGAAGGTAAGCCTATAGAAAGAATGGTCCATGCATGTCATCACTGGTGCAAGCTTGTGGTCCATACATGTCATCAGGTTCCACATAGCTTCCCAGTAAAAACGTCATTTCAAATAAAGTGCTTGCAAAACGGCATGGTCGGCAAATTTCTTGAACATGACCTACCATGCCAATTAAATCAATTTTTGCTTTTCTTCAGTAATTCTACCATCCACGTCTTCCTGCGGATTTTTACCCTCCTGGTTGGGTCACAAATGCCAAGGCATAGAGAGAGTGATGACAAATTGTTTCCGAACTACAACAAAGTCTGCTATTCAAAAAAGGGAGACCAAAACTGTCTCTTTTCTACAGGGTCAAGTTGTGTTAACCAGATTTTGTAAGAATTCATTCATCTCTGGGTAACCAAAACTCTCCTAATAACTCTCCTAAAAACCAACAGGTATCATCATACTTGGTTGACCTTAGTAGCCCATAAAACATTATGATAGAACTAGTACTTAAGCTTTGGTTCAAAGTTATTGCATTATACATTTTGTAGATGCACCATTTTTTTTCAATACCTTGATACCTGTAACTGTCAATATGTTTGCAAGGATTAACTATCAAGAAGCAATCTAATTTGTAGGGCTTTATTTACTAGCTAATTTGTGTTCACATTTCTATCAACTTAGATTAAAATCTAGCATTTTATTCAAAGTTGACAGCTTTCTATTGTCAAAATAACTCTCATTTTACAGTATATCATGGACGATAGCCAATGTACTTTTGCATGGCAGACCTTCAGCCATTAGTTTATAATTGTTCTTATATTTCTGGCTGAATGCCCTGGGAGACATGTGTACACTGAAGGTTGGAATGCAGGTTCTGTTATAGCATCTAATTGGGGGCAACCTGTGACATGTTTCCCTTTAACTCCTGAAGTGCAAATGACAGCATGGACAGGTGGACAACAGACTTGGCTGTACAATTCATCACTTTTGACAAACCACAAAAATGCTTAATTTCTACATCTGTGCACTGCCACACAGATCTTCAAAATACATGTAATGTGTTTGTTTTAGCTCCTTTGGAAACCAGAGCCTGAAAAATTACAAGGGAAGTAACAGCAATAAGATATTAAAAGATAGTTTAAACTATGCATCGCAGACTAATATATGGGAGATAAGACTGCATTTTTCCATAGCACAAGAAGAATAGTACTTAAAGACAGTTTCAAAAGTGACTACTACATATCTATCAGCCACATATTGCATAAAACTTGTTTTTATTATTACGGAATCTTTTTGCTGTTTGTCGAGAGTTTCAGAGGAACAACATTGTTTAAATAGTTGGACTGTTGACGTACATTAGGTGGCACTGTTCCCAAAAGCTGCAAGCTGGCAGGCAAGAATGTACTCTGACCCCATAAAACTCACTGATAAGCTTTTTATTTTCCACCTCCAGCAAACGACGCCACTTTTAAGATAAAAACCACAACTCTGATCCAGAAACAAGTACAATTCATTACTAGGTTAGTTCTACATGTCCTCCCAAACATTTTCCCTGGCTTAAAAATTTGGATCTGTTTTTCTCGAAAGTCTCCTTGTGAACTGGAGCAGGCGTCTTATCAGTCAGTGACCTTTCACTGTCTTGGTTTAATCAACTAGTAGGTACTTAAGGGGAGTTCCAAAACACTGAGGGGGAAGTTGCATCCTATGTCTCCCGCATTGTGTGTATTGTTGATATGACCATGAAGTATCAAAAGTTGTTGTTTTCCACCAATGTTTGTCATTGCTGTCGTCAATTTTATTGCATCCCACAGCTACAAAGTAGAATGATTGTCTTATTGTTTGTGACTTGGTATGATCTTGAGATAAATGCTTCTTAGATGTTCTTACGATATAGAACTTCCTTTGGAAATTTAGTTTATCCCAAAGCAAAATCTGTTGCTAACCCCATACATATACTTTTCACATGTATGGTTACATAACGTGTGGTTACATAACAAACAACACAAGACTTGCCTGCACCATATTTCTGTACCTACACAAGGCAAGATGCCAAACAAACTCATGACGTCTCTTTGTCTTACCTTCCAGCCCTTCCCATCTTATAGGCATCTTACGCATTAGACATAAGTGAGATCACTTTTAGTTTATGTTGATATGTTGATAAACACTTGAGAACATCCCACAACTACCACAGGTGACCCAGATTACAACTTGCCGTAAACAATTTGTATTAAGATTGGAAAGAAAGGCCCACTTCTACTTTGCAAGGAGTCTGGTAGTCCAGATTGTATTTTTGACAACTGACGGCTAACTTGTTTGTCCTGTGAGTGTCAGAGTTAATCTTTACACTTGACTTGATACAGAACATGGGTGAAGAAGTGGTATGAGATGTATACAGCTAGCCCTGGGCATCTGTACTCACCTCGATCAGTGCTTGTAGGCCATCTACATACGAGCGTTCTGTCTCCAGTAGATTCTGAGCGACATGCTTTCTCATGTCCTGAAATAGGACAAAATAAATTGAGCATGAAAATAAACATTGCAACAATTCATAAAGAGTCATCATTAGTGTAAATACCATCAGCTTTTCTCATAAACCAGTAACTTGCAAAACAGAAACTTTAGATGAAAATAGAAAATAGTTAACGTTAATAGATTATATTATGGTGACCAAATTTGAAGGCTAATTAGCCGCTAATAGAAGCATAACTGCAGTGACACTTGTCATATTGCCAAACAAATGTCATAATTATTGACACAATAACAATAGAAAGGCCTTCACCAGTCACAGGGTAAAATTCATCTTTCTGTAAGCAAAAATCATCAAGCTAGAGGTCTTGACTTCAGCCTTGTGAATGTTGAGTGCATGCCTTGGCATTTTCGCAACCTGTTAAGAACCCATTCTACATAAAGCAAGCACGTCTTCTGTCAACATCACGGCTCCAAATTGGTGCAGGTTTACAGACAATTCAGCAAGATGCAGTCTACATACCATATTTCTTCTAATAAGGGTTTACAGCATTTGATTGTACTTGTTAGCATGCTCTAACGAACGGTATCAAAGGACCAAATGAGAACTTATTGGCAATTAATCAAGTTTCAAGTCAAACTGAATATTCAACGGAAAAAATATAGTACTTCTGGAACAGCTATGCAGATAAATCGTTTGACAAAAGTTGCATGTGGAATTACTGAAGGATATAGAAATGCAAGAAATTCTCACAATTGTCACCAATGTCACTTTTCTGGTGGCTGGGCCAACACTACGTCCTGCAGGTGGTGTAAATATTGAAAACCAAATGCCACAGGGAAATTAATTGGTAGGGCCTCGGAGTTGTGTTGCCTTATAAACATTTGTAGGAACTTGAATGGTCCTTTGATGTTCTAAATTAGTGCTGCGCTATTCTGTCTGGTTTTCTCATTGTCTGTATATGGCTAGGGGAACCCACATGATATAGTGTGTTTGGACTGGTTTGACAATGATGTACATGTAACTTTGCCATGGTGCTGGATGGTTAAGGTTCAAAGCTAAAAGTTGCCAGGTAAGTTCAAATTTGTATCTGGCATAAATATACACATGTGGATTTATAGGTCTGGCTCTTTTAGGTTAAACCAACTGCAGCAAACATGCTGGTTGTGACCTCCTATGGAAACAAGCTATAATTTTTTTCTTCCCCTTTTCATACTTCATATCCCATGATATACAGTACATTTTTGTTTGTAAAGGTGCTTGCGGACTTAGCAGGTTTAAAATGTCACAGTTCCCCTTGTCATATAGTTCACTTCTTGTGTTGTTATTTCTTGACTTTAGATATAATGTTATGTCAGAATTTATCTTTGAACATGTCATTTTAATCCTGATTCTGAAAGCAAGAAAGCATTTCTCAGGGAAGGTCATGGCAAAACTGATTACAGATTGTGTACAGGAAAGTTTATCAGCTTTCAATGGGACCTGGGACAAAGAGCTGTTGTACCTAGGATATCTTGAAATGAAAGAAAACTTGACATGTTTGTTTTTCTTAGTCAAGAAAGGGAATGTTTTCAATCATTTTTAGCACTGCTGAAAGTGTACGTATACAGTTTTTGCGATCACTATCACTGTGATTATGTAACTAAGAAAAAGCATTACATAACAGTAACACTAACATAGCATGATTCTTCCTGCAAGGCATTTCCTTCATAGGATTGACATGTATGTGCCGCCCTGTATCCTGCAGTTTGCAAGGGAGCTGCTAGGGGTCCAAAGTTCAACACCAGCAATACATGAATGTTTTTAATGTGAATTTCAAAGCAGGTGTACGGTGTACATGTGTACATACACACATTGTCTTGTGTTAAATGATACTTCATGAAAGTAGGGACTTAATTTTCCCAAATGAACTTTTTCAGCACAGGTCTGACAGTGGCAATGATTGACCCTAATTTTTTTTTTCATCTTCCTTTCATCATTTCAATATCTAGATGTTCCAAACGTTTGTTTGAGTACATCCTTTTCAGCATCTAAGGTTCAACTTCCCTTTTCTGAAACTTCTTGTAGGTCCAATCATACTAAGCCTTATTTCAAAGGTAACAAAAGTATTTTTCAAACCATTAATGAAGCAAAAGCAATCATCTACATCTGACCTTGTGTATAAATGTGTACATTTTTGTCATCGCTTAGACAGTGTCCATAATTCAGAGCGTGTTAGTGTAAGTATTCCATGGGGGCCGCTAGTCCTTGTCAGTAAAAGTAGACTGAGCTGCCTCTGTTTGGATTGGATCTGGATTAAAATTCTAGAGATAGTAGCTACATGTAGCATGTGTGCATGTGGGCTAGCCATCTGACAACATACTGAAAGTTATACTTCTACTAAGTTCTACAATTGAATGTTCCTACTTTGCCTCTTTATATAATGTGAAATCAATACATTTTCTTAGTTCAAGGACATTTTAAGTATTATAAAAGTTTATGCCAACATGAAAACAGGACAGAAGGCTATTTGCACAAAAGTCTCAAGCATCAAACAAAATTCAAAATGTCATCCAGCCTTGTAGTTTAGTTAATTTACATTAGGATAGACCTTCTGATTCCAAACAATCCTCTTGTGACCTCAATAGATTATGGTCCTGACAGGTCACAGAGTGAGACTACAGTACTACACATGTAGGGTCACATGTACCTACACATGTACAAACTGTAGTTATCATTTGGTCCTCTTGACAAGTGATTTTGCCTTGGCTTAAACAATGTTCTGGGTCAGTTGCTTGTGTATTGCACATCCTACAAGAGTGCTTCATTTCAGGACATCCTATCCTTCCACGGTATGGCACGTAAGACAGGATACAGGGTCCACCAACTAACCGTGATGGGAAGAGATCCAACGCCTGTTCTGTCCATATATACAGCAGTGCTGGACAGGCTCCAAATGTTGTTTCTTTCCGATTTCTCTGGCATGCCTTCCTGATAGCATGATTTAAACCCCTAAATCTCTTAACAACTTCTTTTGAGTGACCAATGCAAGCTGACCTTTAGAAAGGGGTGGGGGGTATTTTGATGACTGATTTCTTATACAATTTACTGATAACAATAGTATTTTTGCAGTTCACACCATACATGAATGGTTCATTCATAGCAATACACTCATCTATTTCAATCACCTGGTCCTGCAATGATACTTCAGGACTGAAGTGTATCATGTTGCACCATGACTTTTTGTTCCTCTTAGTCATTCAGAACTTCAACCCCTTTGAGTTCAACACACTCCAGAGCGTAAATACGAAACATCTGTGAGGGTACACGCAGTTGGATTAATATAATACAAATGTATTATTCAATACTGTAAGAGCGGTGCCAAGCAAAATTAGATTCTGTGAAGACCAGAGTGTGCGGGGTCAAGGTTTATTTCTCAGGGTCATGCTGGATCAACTGAGCTATGTTGTGTGACTGAGTTAAACTATAGGAATGTCATACCACATTTCCTGACACGTTTTGACATCAGTACATCACGAAAAACTTGACAAGTTAGTCACTACTTTCACTAGATCAAGACCAAATGTTCAATACAGTTTGTTAGGGTCTTTTGCAATTAATCAAATCATCGCAAATTCCACTAGGTTTTGATTCTGTTGATTTGTTAATTTACAGGCACTTTTATCAGTATGTCTATCACCTTTGGCTCTAGATGTGAATGTGCTAAGATGGAAAGTGGATTAAAACAGTGGCACAGAATAACATACCACCCATTGCCAGCTGGTCTTAAGCTTAAAATCACCCTCTCATGCCAAGAAAACAAATTGAGAGATACCATCATTCATAGATACATATGCCTATGATTATAGTATGAAAGAGAGATGACATCTTAATTATCTTTTGGCATCTTGGCAATGATAAACAAGATTCTTTTGAGTCAGAAATTACCACAACTGTTATCCACAATAGTTTATACACCAATGCAGCAAACTTGTCTGATATAGGTAATTTTGACCATTCTCCGCACTCATGTATATATTTGACTGTTCCCTGCACCAGTGCAGATATTCTAGAATAGTATTTCAGGTCCTGGATATCCCATGATAATTCAAGTATCAGCCCAAGGCTGGACCACCAGATTATCACTGAATCAACACTATCGCTGCCTAGGGTACAAGTCATATCACTCATGTAAAACAACATGTGCTCAACACATGTACAAGTTATATAGCAAAGGTTTGCCTACAAAAAAAAAACTGTTTGTGCAAATGCAGGTGTTCAAATGCAGCTTGCAATATTCATGATTGCCTAATTAGTTATTGCTAAATTTAATATCTCCATATTTTATTCCCTTGGGGAGTTTATGTAGTATTTATCCTTGGTGAACTTTCCCCACCACAATGTGGAGTTCAGGGTTGGTGGGAGAGTAGCAAGTTTGGGTAATCCCCTGGGTGTAAAGTGCAGGGTAAAGGTAGGTAAGGTCAGACTGGGCTGTTGACACCTGCCACCATTTGACAGGCCCTGATGAAAAGATAACCACATGTTATTGTGGCCTGGGAACTCATGCATATGAGGCCAAGAGTACAAGTATGCTTATGTCAAAAGCAATTGGGTGAAACTTTGCCAGATCATTGACTTTCAAAGGCCATATCCACAGTTCCCTTTGCTACTGTAAAAAGAACATTTTAATTTTGATGACAGTAAACTTCACTGATGATTTCACATGTTTGATAAATTTCTTAACAAAAATAGACAACGAGCAAATAAAATTTTAATTGTTTTCCACTATGCTAGCTAGTCAGCCTCCTCCTCATTTATCAGTACTTTTGCCAAAACCTTTACAACTACCAGGGAAGATGAAAATATTAGCTTATCAACTTATATCTAGTATTAATAACCTGCTTTGTACATGATGGAATTACATACTAGTACTATAAATGAGATTTTCCTTTGAAAATGATTTGAATAATGAGAATTTACTTCGTTATACATGTACTGTAATTACCAATATGTTTGAAGATATACCTGTTAACTGTCTACCTTATTTTTAA